TTCATAGATTTGTTTTGTTCTTAGTACTGCTGTCTTGAATTTTTAAAATAAACTGCGTGTTTAATTTAACTATGTATCTCAATTAATAACGCACCTAATGATGAATAAAAACAATTTTTTCATAATTATTGTACTACATTATTACATTAAGGTACTACATTGCGATTCAAGTAGAAATTCGCTATTGTATCTGACGCTTTTAGATTTAACAATTCTAAAAAAATGGAATAAACGTTTTTTTCCAAAAAAAAAAGAAAAAATTGGAAAAGTTGAAGAAACTCGAAATAAAAACATTAAAAAAATACTTATTAAAATATTTTTCCAGATATATTTTGCTGGAATAAAGTACAGTAGGTAAATAAGAAAATAACTTGTTTAAGAAAATTTATATACAGAGTGGTCCCGAGGTAATGGGCCAAAATTCATTGGTAGATTCCCGAAGAAAAAATATTGCGATTTAGCCGAACTTACCTTAGTCCAAAAGTTGATAGTTAAAGAGATACAATCTCATCTTTGGTATCAAATTCTTATTTTCCAAATTTTTTTACACAAAAAAGGTAGACTTTATGAAAGTAGCTGTCTCGCGCCGTTTCCGAGATATTTGGCTTTGAAACTTCCATTGCTAATAGTTGAAATAATGAAAGTAATTTAGAAATGTCAAAAACGGGTTTATTTAGAATTAAAAATTATAATGAACAGTGAAATAGTAAAATTAGTAAAAAATATGCCTTTTTGACAATAATTGCTCAAAATATCCACCTCTAACTTCAATCAACACGTTTATTAAAAGATTGTTTTATATTAAAGTATAAATCCTTAATGCGAAATGACTGCAGCATTTAAAACCTGCTACTAAAGTTCTTCTCAAGTGTTTATAGTTTCTCCATAAACAACTGATTTCATGTAACTCCAAAGATGTAATTTTAATTAGATACAAATAATATTTCATAGAAATTAGCATACAAATGACAGCAATAAGACAAGTGGAAGACGTCAATTATTTGATTTTCGTCCAAATCCTACTTAAGAAACTTTACCGCTAAATTAATAATACCTGTAGGTACTTAATCGTTATTTAATACAACAGCATTTTGGAAGTTTCAAAACCAAGTATCTCGAAAACGATGCGAGATAGCTACTTTAATAAAGTATACCTTTTTTGTGTAAAAAAAGTTGAAAAATAAGAATTTGTTACCAAAGATGAGATACCTTAAAGTACAAAAAAGTTATGTCGTTTTTAACACATTTAATCTACTGCAGCTAGCGCCCTCTATGAACTTTAACCAAAATGTGAACAGATTTCAATTCCTCTACTCAAAAAACTCCTATCCCCAAAATTTTGTGAGGATATTTGCATTTGTTAAGGACTAAATTAAAAAAACTGAAATAATATTTTACATTTAACACCCTGTATCTCTTTAACTATGGACTAAAGTAAGTTCGGCTAAATCGCAATATTTTTACTTGGGGAATCTACCCATGAATTTTGGCCCATTACCTCGGAACCACCCTGTATTTGGGATAATCTCAAATCTCAAACTCATAGAACTCAAGCAAAAATTAACAAAAACTAAATATGTTAGGTATTCCTTAATTCTTAATTTAGTTCTCTATAACAAAAAAAAGCAACATATAAAGTGTCTGCAGCAACATTTCTTCATAAAAGCAAAATAACAAACCGACCTCTGAGAAAATATTATTTCATTCCAGAACAACACGTTCTTGATCATTCTGACAAATATTTAGTTTCTTCTAAAGGCTGAAATGTTCTGCTGTTTCTTTTATTGAAACAGTGGTTAGAAAGAACCCTTTACATCCTAGATTTTAACAGAGTTTAGCTTTTTCCCTTTTTCCCAATTTTTCTAGCAAAAAGACCGTTTTTTACAAGCTTTTATTTAACTTGCCTTGTTCGTATGGGTCAAATTTTGCAAGTGAATTTTAAAACAGTTTTCCCCAACCGATTGAGCTGAAATTTTGCATTCACGTTTAGTTTGGATGACAGTGCATGGTTAGCTAAGTGACGTCATTCTAAATCCAATATGGCAGGCTCCCAAAGATGACAGACCAGTTATTTTCATGCACCCCCATGATATGGGTATCAAATGAAAGGATTTGCTGAGAAGAATACGAAAATAAAATGACACCACTAAAAGCTTTTTTTTTAATTATAAATGGACTTATTTCTTATACCCAATTTTGAATCTCTAGACGCATTTTATAGGGTGCTTTGACCTTTAAGGAAAAAACTTATACTTTGTTGCACCATTTATACGTTGAAAAGTGAAATTTCAATAAAAACAAATCCATATTAAAAAAAATATATCAAAATGAACGAACTTTGAAATTGGGACCCATTTTTAATGATATTTTATTAATTTTGATACAGAATATATTATTTTTTTAATGAATTCCATGTAGTGTTACTTGTTGACCATCTTGAAACTATAATCGCGTTCATTTTTCATTTGACACCGATTACACTCGCGAAACAATTCTAAATTAAGTACCCAGCACAGAAAAAAACCCAGAACAACATGTGTCCCGGATTTATTTTTAAGCCTTCCCCGCGCAATTAGATATTATATCCAGATTTTTTGTGCACATTTTTTCGGCGTGTTGGTACTTACTTCGCCGTGTGCATGATATATCTGTTCGCGAACGTCAAGAAAAAAATCGCGGCGGAAAACAAAGGATTCAGTGTGTGTGTGTGTGTGTGTGAAATCTCATTAAATTTTAAAGAGACGTTGGTAGTTTTTTTATCGACTGTAATAAAAAGTGAGCAGTCTTTTTTTGTTGTTTGTTTCGTGTATTTTGAAATGAGGGTGAGAATTAGTTGATGTATTTATGCTTACAGTCCAGTCCAATTAGATTATAAACCCTGAAAACTTTAAAAAATTATTAGTAAACAGTTTGTTGCACTTTGTGGCGATAATATAAAAAAACTAACTCGAAAGGAGTGACGCTAACTGGCAAATTGCAAATAATGGGCAAAATTACGTATTTTTCACTTTTTTTCTACTGCCCAAGAAAATCTAGACGACCTATCGGAAAATTAGTTATTTTATGTTGTAGCAATTTAATTACCTATAATTTAAGGTATCTTTCACCAATTTGTTAACTGTAAAATAAAGGTCGACCGCGAAAAAATCAGTTTTCGAAAATTGCGCATTATTATTGCAAAAAGCGATGAAAATTTGTGGAAAAGACAATCCAATGAGCAACGATATAAGTGCCGATTCGATTGTTGCTCCAGGTTAATTTCGTTTTTTTTGCAAGTAATTGTTTAATTACTAAACGTTAATTTTAGAAGTTAATATCCTAGATATAGATTCTAATTGATTCAAAGAAACGTATCGAAAAAGTAAAAAAAAATCAAAAAGTTGAAATTAAGTTGCCTTTTACAACTAACAAAGTAGGATGAGCCAGGGTCAGGCAAACGCCGCTCGGTAATTCGCTCTTTTTGCATTAAATAGAACTTATTTTTACGGTAATTAAAAAAAGAGAAATCACCTACGCCTCTTTGTTCCCAAGCTACCTTTTTTACAACGTTAATTATTAATTGGACTTATCGGACCGGGATTTTAGAGACAAATAACTAAAGAAAGGGTTAAACTTTTATCAACGTTAACTTTTACTGCTGCTAGCGCGTTTATTACATGAGCTATCCATGTAAAACTTTTTGAAAATAGTTTACAACCTTTACATGAAATATTTTAATTTGTTTAAATATTTGACAGTTAACAGATTTCGCAGATGCAGAAGCGTCTTATGTCAAAGTCAGTTTCTTGCAAAAACAGTACATATCATTGACAAATAGCAATTTGCAATAAACAAAATTACACACTCAAATACCAGTTTCTTTGATTTTAAAAAGTTTAATTCTTTTTATTATTTTGAATGAACCCCACGTAAGAATATTAAAAAAAACTTCCTGATGATGGCTCAAACGTATACGAAACGTAATAAAACCGCCACAAGTGACACATTAGTGATCGTAACATTGAAATTCTTCAGAAATATATGTTTTATAAAAGACATCATAATATTACTGCAAAAACGCTATTATATTTCAAACAAAAACATTTCGAAAACTCAAATTCCATCAAATCGGGTCAAAATGGATAAACTAGCTTTTAATGCAAAATATGCCTCATATAAGGCTTCTACAAAATAATGATTACATACTAGTAAATGCATTTGCTTAGCAGAAGTGTTTCATGTCTTTGAAAATTCGACATAGTGATAGAGTTTTTGTAAAGAAGGCTCCGATTGAAAGGCTGTTTATTTAGATATCTAGTTGCCTTAAGCCGGTTCCAAATGATACGATCACTTGCCTAATAATTGTCAAATATAAACAAATGCCGTATCGTGTGGATGATGCATATCGATATATTCGAAAACATGTCTTCACTTGCCAAATATTCACGCAAACGACAACCATATCGGTGAAGTTAATTCTACAGAGTGGAATTCGTAATTTTTCTACGTTTTTAAGATAGTAGCAAGTGCGCACATGTGTCGATAACACAGGTTAACAAGGGTCAAGAAGCAGACACACTAATATGCATTCCCGAAGGATTTTGGTGCGCTGAATCCGAATCTGGCCGCAGAATTGCTCTATCGCGTCAGGTTTTTGAGATAAGTATAAACGAATAGATGGCATTACTACATAACCTCAAATATGACGAAAAACAGTGTTTTTTGCACTTTTAGGTTAGGATATCTCAAAAACCTGACGTGATAGAGCAATTCTGCTGCCAGATTCGGATTCAGCGTACCTAAATCCTTCGGAAATATGTATATATTCAAGTGTCTGCTTCCAAAAAAATAATTAAATTTTGTTGGTCTGTGTAATTAGTACTTTTACCGTATTTTTACGAAATTAATTCGTACATTTTAATTCCTGCGTTTCCTATTTATTACAGTATTCTATATTTATTGTTGTTTATGTAGGCTATTTTTAAATTACTGTTTTTTTTAATTGTACATTTTTTTTGTAGACGCCGGCTCCCCTGCCCATCTGCACGGAGTGCCTGGGCACCGAGTCCAAGAATCGGCACGGCGTCTTCGAGAAACTAAGTGCCTGCTCCGAATGCGGGGCCTTCGTCCACTTGTCCTGCACGTCGGCGGGGCCCGAGTTGGCCGCCCTCTTGGCCAAGGGCGGCAAGTGGTTCTGTGAGGACTGCAAGGTCTGCGACGGGTGCGGTAAGTCGAAAATTCGAAACTTCATAGCTATAGTTTTTTTAAACGTTTATCGTCGGCAGAAGCCGTTGTTATCTGCCGACGGGAAACGTTAGCAGAATTCTTTTTGTTCATGCAACTCTCTTGGTTTCGACAATGCAATACTGTTTTCAACCACGAAAATTGAATAATTTCAAATATTTCGAATTTTCACCACCAAGAACGTCACCGCCGTTCTTGGTGGTGAATTCCATTTATAATAATTAAAGTATGTTTGTACACGGAACAGAACATCGTAACGTAACTCTCTTGCGTAACAAGTTGTTGTACATGACTGTTACGTAGATTTACGAAGGATGATCGTGATTAATGCAACGTCGACTTGTATCACTGTCACGAACATTCCGCCAGTCCATAGAGAATTTTTTTGTGTGACCATCAAACTGTACTGATTGAACACTGTGATGGTACTTCACACGTCCAGAGCGTAACATTTCTTTGATGCGGCACTAGTGCCACTACAAAACCGACAACCGATTTAACGGGATATTGTTGCGATATTACGTTGTTGCAGTGGTCGTCCGCATCAACGCGACTATGTTGCGCGACGGCGTTGCGTTACGATGTTCTGTTGCATATCTGGACGCACTAAAGTTGAGGACACGCGGCTTGTGACAGTACTCGGTTCACTCTTCTAGTTTTCATCTCAGTTGTTCACTAGTCGCTGCTCGTAGCCTTCGGTTAACTGTCGTATTCGTTTATTTTGTACGTCCTCAGGAACTCCTGTGTAGTTGCCGTGCGTTTAAATAACTATACAGGGTGCTTGTTTTTCAAGCAATGATGATCTCGGTTATCTTAAGGTCGGTCAAATTAGATCAAAGTTGCGGAATTGTTGACGATGAAGTTATCGAAGAGAAATTTGAAAGAGGTATCTTTTTTCGTTTTATTTTTATGAATGGAGAACTGAAAATTTAGGATGTCATTTTGATCGAAAAAGGAAAGAAGGTTTTAAACGTATTGTTAGAGCACTTTTTTGTGGGGAATTCAAATTTGTAGTCATATTAGCAGTGGGGCATACTAGACATATTGAATTTTAGCGTTTTTGATTTCAGTACATTTTTTTGATTACGATGATGTACCATACGATTTGGTTTACTTTTTTAATTTCATCAAAATACCGAATTAACCATTTTTACAAAGAGCGCATTGAAAGCAAAACATCCAATATCATTTGAACGAAATTAAATTTCTATTGATAGGGTCAAAGTTTAGATTACAAATGCAATTTTTACATGAAGACCAAAAGACGCTTCAAACTTGTTGATAATTAATTTGAAGACTATCTGGCTTTGTTGCATGCGAAGATTGCATTTTTAGAAGTCATATGGCATACTTGATATTTTGTAGCTAATCTTCGAGTGCTGGCACAGGGTACTCTTCCAAGGCGTACAAAACTTCCGGTTCTATGTTTCTCACTCATCGAGTTTGTTCTCGTTTCATTATTAACATTTTTTTTATTCGATACTTGCTGGTCGGGATAATCATCTTGCAGCAGCATCGTTTTCTCCTGACAAAAAGTAGGTTCTAACCAATCAACTTTTTCTTGATTCGTATATGTCTTTTTTGTTAATATCACACAGAAACTTAACAACGAAGATACACAAACTCATAGTACCGCAAATAAACACAAAAATAAATAGCTTTATAATGTTATACACTTACACTATACAAGACATTCACCTGGCAGTTCACTAAATACTTGACAATTCAACACTTACTTCGATTCCAGTAAAAACTAATATTTCACCTAGAAATCTAATAAAATTCAACCATTTTCGTTTCCCCGAATTAACGTGGATTGTTTGATTTTTTGCCCGTCCTGTTGTTATCTCACATCAGGTGGATTGATATGTAGTTCACTTATAGAAGGTCAATTTCAGAGGTCATTTACACAAACTACACAGTGTCTTAAACAATAGTAGCAAATATTTTTATTAAAAACTTGTTCAGATTAGTATTTTTATTTATTTTTTTAGTACGATTTTTTATAAAACGACAAAAATAATTATGTTTAAATATTTAATTTTACTTACAATTAGTAACGTATTCCTATCCATATGCTAATATCAGTTAATATTATAGTTTTTCCGAAACAGTTGAACATGTACAAAAACGCTTAGCAAAAGAATTTAATGAGTTTCATTTTTTCACTCTTTTTTGTGTAAAATTCATTGGCGCTTCAGAATTTGCTGTCAAATGTCAATTTTCCCAGTGGCGTAAAAGTTAGGGGAGGAACCCTTACGATACCTTAAAATCTCCACCACTGGTACGTCCAATTAATTCGAGGAGGGTGCAAAAAAATAACTATTAATAGCGGTAATGTGTGTACAAAAGTTCCGTCTTGTAGTTCAAACGGTTCCTAAGATATTATCAAAAAACTAAATAAAAATTAAAGTCTTGACACCGTCTATCTCGAAAATGAAAGCCCGGAGAGAAAATGGAAGAGGAAAAAAGTGTTTCTTTTTTCAAGAGGAATTTACAGTTTTCCGTTGCGAGACTTATTTAGGAAGACCCTGTATATTTACTACTTAGAAAAGCACTTAGTTCGTTTGTCGTGTAAATGTTTTCTTAAATTATATCTTATTAACTTGTATCAATTATTGTATCAACTTTTATATTTAGTATTGATATTCGCGATATATTTTTTGTGAATATGTATTTGCATTTGTAAACTGAGTCCGGTTCTGTTACGAGCCGTGTATCTCCGAATCTAGTGTAGCATAACACATAACTTCAACGAATTTGTTTAGTTGGACTTAATAATTCAAGATTTTGAAGCTACTGACTTTTTAGATACTAAGAACTAAGAGTCACACAAGACCGCTTATTTACAAAAAAAAAAATATTCCAAAGAAATTCCGCCTTTTATATGATTGTTGTGTCAACATCACGTGTCGGAATTCAAGGCGCAGTTTATGTTTATGTCAAGCGAAATTCCATACGAAGGACCATCATTAGAGTATTTGTTCAAGTTCTTCGTCTGATTGAAGGTCGACACTGGCACAAAAGAAAGTTACGGAAATTTACTCCCTCGTGTCTTGTGAATGCCGGAAGTTGGGAGCGAATTATCGGGGTCGAAAGAGCAAAGGTGATGCCAGAGTAAGAGTACGGGAGTTTTTGTTGCTTCCGGCAGCTCCTGAAACTCTCAAACATCAAGGAAACCGAATGAATACCTGTGTACATATAGACTTTGTTTTTCACTGAAGTTTTCAAAGCACAAGGAACAAAAATTTATAATTTCTGATTCCACATTTCAACCAAATCGCTGTTTCTTTTGTACGTTTCGTTCTCACGACTTCTTTATTTCTAATTTCATTTAATACTACATATTTTTTTCATATTTTCTTAACCAGATACGTAAATTACATATTTTCATAAATTCCAGATTAATTTCCATTTTCGCAATGAATCATTGGCCAATCGGTTGCTTACTGCAGTACGATTAATAAGTTCAGACGTCTCGATCGTGTTTTAGTATCTTCCTACATGCTAGCAGGGAAGTTTTCTATTATACTTATTCGAAAGCTTGCAGCTGCCCTAACTGGACTTCGTATAATGGCAGCCATTTTGGCAGATGTAAATGCCGGCAAATTTAAATAAATGCAAACTGTAAACAAACATACAAAAAATATACGGTGCAGATTTAAATTTTTGCCCGACGATATTCTCTATTCGACATAAATTCAAATACGAACTGAGTGTATTATTTATTTATTAAATTTCAATCAGCTCAACTCAATCCGACATCTTTCAGAGCAGATCGAAAACGAGATAAATGTAAACAACTATCTATACAGATTGTTTCAGATTTATCTAAAACCAGAGAAATAAATAAATATTTTTTAACGTTGTCCGGTGTTGTCAATAAATCGGGTACGATTGTCTAAGTAACATGTGTTACGTCTTGTATCTGAAATAATAGTGAAAATTTGAACTTTTAGAAACATGGTTAAATAAAGGAAATATATAAAATAATTGCATTAGTTTAGTTACATTTATTTAACCCTTAAAGGTCGCGCTTGGGGTGGGCCGTCTCAAAGGTCACACTAGTGCGAATTGGGATATTGCCAATTGTGAACCTTTATTCTTTCTTTATTTGTTAACGAAAACAGCGTATTTATATCAAAACTGGGGTAGAATTTTTCGAGAAACTCGATGATGTAATTAATAAAATAATAAAAAATGTGATTGAAAAAAAAATCATTTTTCGAAGAGACATTAAATTCGTATTTTTTTTTTATAAATAATGGCCAGAGAAAAGGTAAAAAAAAAGAATTTTCAAGTTCAAAGTCTATATTTTTAAGAAAAAAATACCCTATATTGATAAAATGGTATCGATTTTTCCCGGTATCTGAAATATAGGCATTTTTGGAGGTTGTTTGTGATTTTTGTCTCCTTTTCTGTAAATTGTTATTTATTTTGCACTCTTTTGTATAAAAATATTAATTTAAAGAAAATTATACATAAATATTGACAAATACCTGCATTAAGGTGGCCCAAAAAAAACGAATATTTTTTTTTCGTATCTCTTGTGAAAATATGTTAGTTTATCATGTTTTAAGAGCCCCCTCAAAAAATCAGCTCGAAAAATTTTTTTTCTTCGTTATTTTATCATTTTTTAGGTTGAAAAAAATTCGATTCTGAAAATTTCAAAACGATATTTTAATTTGTAAAGGTCACTCATAATTATTTTAACTTTCAAAGTAGTGTACCTATGTTTATAATAAATATCAACGAACTAATATATTTTTTTTATTGAATTTGATGAACAAAAGAATAGAAATAAATCACGAGACAGTTAAATTTTAAAAAATTAAAAAATTATAAATATTTGATGCTCACAGCGGTAGTAAATTTGGCTTCGAGAAATTTTTTAAGTGTCGTGATTTATTTCTATTCATCAAATTCAATAAAAAAAATATTAGTTCGTTGATATTTATTTTTAGAGGTCGCTCGAAAACATTTTAGGTACCTACACTATTTTGAAAGTTAAAATACCTAATTATGAGTGACCTTTAGAAATTAAAATATCGAATTGAAATTTTCAGAATCGATAATTTTTTAAACCTAGAAAATGAAAAAAAATGTTTGAAAAATTATTAACAATAACTAAATAAATAACGTTCTAGTCTATTCGATACGTATCATGAGGTGAAATTTGGATTTCAATTAACTTTTTTCTAGATTACTTATATGATATAAATTCAGCCACAATTTTGCCCACACTAAAGTCACACTAGTGCGAATTCGCACCGATCGGACTTTTCAGACTTTCGTTTGGCCGGCAATAAAACACTGAAGCCAGGTGTGATACGGCTCAACTGTTTAGGCTATAGAAGGAATTTTCGTGGTGGGAGAACCCTCGGCAGCTTCTACCTGAGAAATGTCCGCTGTTAAAAAAAACGGTGGGGCGAGTTCGCACTAGTGTGGCCTTTGAGGGTTTATAATAAAACGTATACTATTATTTATTAGCAATATTTTAGTTTTATTTATTATTATTTTTAATTCGAAAGTTGGGAAAATTTCTTCTCTGGTGTTTATATTTTTTCCTGAAATATTTCTAATTGGGAAATTTTCCTAAGTGGAAAATTTCCAATTGCTTTTTCCTAGAGTATTTCCATAGAACATTGTGTGCAATTTCCTTTTATTATATCGGTAGTTAAAGATTGTTGTGATATGAAACAAAATCAATTTTTTTCCTGTTATAGAAAAAATATGCATATATCATGGTTATAAACAATTATTCCTCGCCAACAGAACATTACCGCAGGAGGAATAATACAAATCAGTAAGGGACTTTGAGAAAGTCAGCCATATTAAAAAGGTGTAGATATTGGGACTATTATTTTCTGTTCTGTGGCTCTGTGAGTGGGAAGGGCTTGTACATTTCTCGGAGAAACTGCTCCTTTGTATTTTTACATGCATAATAGATATAGCTACTACTTTGTTTCAAATAACATTGAACACTGTAGTTATATTGAATTTACAGTAGATTTTTTTCATAATTACTACATATTTTAATCATTTTAATTACATATTTACCTATAAAATTCAAGTTTTCAAAGTATGAAGCCTGTAATTTAAATTAAAATATTTTTGCAACTAATTGATTTTTACGTCGAAGTCCTGTGAATAATAATTCGAATTATTGCATTATTTTTATCGGTATCAGGCGAAATATCCCTACAATTACGGCACGAAAGGTGTGGAAATCAATAAATTCCGACGGTTATTATTATTAATCGAATCGACTTATTTACGCCACCGTAATCGTGTGTGAAGTCTGAACGCGACGCCAAGGATATTCACTCCATTGAATGAAATTGCATGCCAATTAAACGATTAAGAGACCCCGTCCGCTATTGATCGAATTTTTTCAACTCGATACGCACACAATGCCACATAATGAATGTCACACTTCATGTTTAATCCTCGCACCCCGACACTTTATGAATATTCATCCGTAAATTGCTTCGGGACACGTGCGCGACATGTGCCGCAGAGAGAAATTTAATATTTCTGTCGTTTTTTTTTCGCGGTGATGTAACGCGACAGGTGAAGCCACTTTGCATCACAAAAAATTCTCTCCGCATCGCAGTAGTCGATTTGTTTATGTGTAGATCGTAGATTCTCTTTTGTTCCTGTGTGAACGGCCGACTGCGTCGTGTAGGTTCTAAATCAGAAGCGGGATTTGGGGTCGGCGATGCGTTTTTGCGTGTTGTAATTCGTGTGGGATTTTAGGTAATACCGGGACGTCCACCTGCCTGCTGTGCTGCTGCAGTTGCGAGCGCAAGTACCACATGGGGTGTCTGGACCCTCCCGCGGAGAAGAAACCCAAGTGCCCGTGGAGGTGCCGGCACTGCCTCGGCCACCACGACAACGTCAAGTCGCGGAAGTCGGAGCCGGGCAGCGCGGTGCGCAAGAAAATCGATAAGGTCAGGGAGAAGATAAAGGAGAAGAATAAGAGGTGAGAAAGAATAAGAGACATTGAACTTCCAGAGACTTGCGCAACCGTTTAAATTGGAAAAAATGTGTTGCGTAGCAAATTAGCGCCAGTTTATCGTGAAAGAAAATTGTGGAATAAATTCGTTACTATATTCAGTGCCAAAATAGTAGGCAGTGATCCATTCCCAACAATTACCCTTACAATTTACGCTCACCTTTTTATGTATATCCAACAGGTAGGTAAGTACTGACACTGGCCTGACACTGGCCTGACAGGCCTCAGCTGGAAACTGAGACAGAGCGAAATTTCAAGAAGCAAGAGCAAGATAGAAATAGGCGTTTGTAACGAAAGAAGGTTGCAAGTGCGCGTGCGCGAGCTGAACATATCTGAACACTGTGCGAAATGAACAGCACATTACATTTCCATAGAGAGAATACCCAAAATTATTTTACCGGATTACGAGGTAGTAAAAACCGTTGTTTAATCTGTCTGCCTACTGTTTTGGTACTAGAATATAGGATTCTTGTACTTTTTTCTATTCTTTTTTTTTGTATTATTTCTGTGTACTAACTAAAGAGATTCCGGTGTTTCAGGTCGAAGGAGGGCGCCTCGCCAGCGACGCCCAGCCCAGCGACGACGCCGGCTCCGGCAATAACGACGACGCCTACGTCGACGACCACGAGCGCAGCGAAAGGTGCCGCACGCAAGAGTAGGGTACCGGCGTTGAGCGAAAGCGACAGCAGCGAATTTGAGGGTACGCCAAATCCCGCCAAAAGTACACACCACCATCCCGACCAAACCACCATATCCCCCGCCCCCTCCCCCAACCCCCATGACACTACCGAACGCTTAGAGACCCACGACCGCATGTCCAAGGAGAAACAGAAGTTCTTCCGGCTGTCGGCCTTCAACTCCGACAAGAAGAAGGAGAAGAGGCTGCTCGAGCCCAGGAATCAGTCCTCCGCCGCCGATAAGCTGAAGAGGAAGGAGAGCAAAGAGAAAGACGATGTTCAGACGCCGGATAAGGTAGAGAAACCAGTACCGGTCGATAAGAAGAATGAGGTCGAGAGGAAACCAGTAAAAAAGGTGCAGGAACCGGTGAAAAGGAACGATAAAGTTGACCCAAAGACGAAGAACGGCAAGATAAGCGCAGCAAATGAGAAAACTAAGAAAGAGACCACCCCCCAACCTGCGGCCAAGTTGGCTGTGAAACCAAAACAGGATAAAGTGGTACCGGTCAAGAAGAAGTTGCCTCCAAGGAACCAGAAAAACGTGGAGGTGCCGAAACCAGAGGAAAAGGAAGTGGAAGAACAAGAAGAGAGTTCTTCTTCCAGTGAGACGTCTTCGAGTAGTACTTGTTCCTCTGATTCCGACGATTCAGACTCATCTGTGATCGACTCGGATTCTAGAACTAGCATAAGGAACCTAAAAATCCCGCAGATATACAGTGTCGGCAGCGAGAAGAAAGAGACTTTCGGCAGCATAAGTGGAATCACGGTAGACAAAGACGGGCCGTGGGGTTTCGCAGCAGCGGCAGCTGAAGCTCACAAGAAAACCACGAGCAAAACAGGGGACCCACCGTTTAATAACGACAAGAAGTCCGAAAACTTGTTCATTACGGTCTTAAAAGAAGAAGGCCTTCTAAAGGACGACAAAGACGACTCCTCGTTGCCGGCCAGCGAGAAATCGTTATCGGACAAGTCCCAAAAGAGCCAACCCGGGTTCGGGCAGCTGAAAGGCCTCTTCGACGGATTATCTCACTGGTTCGCGCCCCCCACCATGAACAGAGTGAGCAGAACCCAACCGAACTATAACCCGAACAGGCGAAAGCCCAAAGAGGACGCCCCCGCGGAGGAGAGCAAGGCGGTGGAGGAGAAACCGGCGGAGAAGAAACCGACAGTTGAAGATAGAAGGCAGCAGAGCCGTCCCAAAGCCAACAACTCCGATCCCCACCCGCGAGCCTCCCGTCCCTTTCCCAGTTCCACTCCCGTCCCCCACACAGATGAGCATGGGCCGCCGTCCGTCATGACGCCGTCTGGGCTTGTTAAGACGGCGGTAAACTCGAAACAGCACGAGAGAAGGAAGTTGGTAAAATCCGAAGGTGTCGGCGCGCCAAACAATGCCCAAAAAACAAACGGTGACGATGTTGTGCGTACCATGAAAAAGCGCAGTCATGTTGCCGCCGCCCCCGCGGCAAACCCACTGCCGCCGTTTACCAACAATCAGACGGGTAAGATCGGATATCCATACCTGCCGACCCGCCACCCCCCGATCCCGTCCCCCTGTATATCTACTATTACACCCGCCCCCCTGCCCCCGGCCTACCACTTTTTACTACTTCTCTACACCACCCTTCTCACTCGGCATACCTGAAATATATACCATTCATTCAGTGTTGATTATCTTCATTCGGCTCCTCGGTTTTGAAATTTTTCTTTTAACGGTCATCTTCTTGTATATCACCCAGTATATTTAAAATCACCGAATTACTGGCAGAAAAGATCGCTTAATGAGAGAGGGAAATAGTGTCGCATTTTTGAATATGTATTCACTCTTGCTGAATGGTCAGTGCCCAGGTCCTCAATTCGGCAAAACTGACAGAGTGATCTGCTATTTCGCAGGTACTACACTTGTGGCGCCACTAGGCGAAATAACTAACTGTTAACTGATGATATTGCGGGAAACAACGGCTCTGCTTGCCAACGCCTTGATCAGCATTGAAACCGGTATATGGCTGGTGGTTCTTCCGACGAATGAGCCTAGCTGTTCACTAAGTATTGCGGGTACAATTCAACAGTGGTCGGGGCATTAGTCCGCAGAGTAGTCGTTTCAGCCGATATCACAAGTTAAAAATTACATTTTTTTTTTAATTGAGATCTCATTGGCCCAAAATATTCCATTATTTCAGCCTCATTGGCGTCAGTTACTTCAATGTTTCAAAGTTCCTGTTGCGAAAATTTAAAGTTTTATTCGCGAGACATTTATTTGGAGTACTTTGTACTAACTTTTTAGTTTTTTTTTATAAATAGCTTCTTTTTTTCTTAACAAACTGACTAATTCCATTTGAAATTCTTCTAAATTCCTATTATTACTGGAAATTTAAAAAACTTATTTAATTTCTTTGTGTTTGAAATTAGAAGTGTTGAATTTTGAACTGGAAATGACATTTGAGATGTTTTTTTTTTTCAAAACTTAAAATTTGGAAAAGTAGTCAACTCATTCTAAAAGACACAAAAAATACACAGAAATAGTCTTAAGAGGGACCTATAGCAAATAGGCAACTAGCAATTTACAACAAAAAGTAATTTGAGCTTTAAACCAACTCCAATTTATAGAAAATCTGCTTTAGAGTGGGGGAAAGTCTGTTATTTGTGCATTGATTCATAGTTAGAGAAACTGTAATAAAATCTAGAAAAATGTATTGCTGGTTGCCTATATGCTATAGACCCCTCTTAAGACTATTTCTGTTTATTTAGTAAATAAATAATTCCTATAAAACTGGATTTTAAAACATCTAGTGGAACAAATTTATTTTATGTACTTGATGACTGATGGATTACTTTTCATTTGCTTTTCTAATTTTGATTTTATTTTCACGCGTTTTCAGTTTTTTAGTGTCTTTCAGTATATTAATCTTGATTTACTGTCAAAGTATTCCACTATTTCATCTTCATTGACTTCATCAGTAAAGCTTAGACGCTAAAACTAACGCTGCAAATTTTTATCGTGAATTCAGTCTTACTTCTTTCAGTTTATTTGGTACAGATGCGTGTGGGGCTAACTTTATTCAAGATAGATAGATGTATTTTAATTACAAACGCTAACTTATTTCATTTGCATTTTTTTTAAATGCTATCTCGAAGGAATTATGTGGTTTGGATAGATTTAAAGTAATTTTTCAGTATTTGATAAAGGAACGTAATTTGGAATCTTAAAAATTAAAACAAAATTCGTGTTAATATTTTTTTGCCTATTCTGAAATGCTTTTAAGACAATTTCTTTTGTTTTATAACGATTTTGAGACAGAATTTACAACATTCGCATTCGAAATATGCCCCTTGAAAGTTTCATTGAATTGAATTGAATTTTGAAATTTATTTTACATACTGGATGTATTCTGTCATTAGGTTTCTCAGTTTTTAATTTTTTGTTAAATTTACTTATACAAGGTGTCGTCCCATTCATGCCTGCCGCATAATTTTTTTAATCCGATTTTTATAAAAAAAAATATTTCATAAATGTCTATTAGAAAATGTGTACATATTTCGAACAAATTCATTCATCAAGGTAATTTCAAGGTCAACCTTGATTTTTTAAATGGAAACCCATATTTTTATTACAGTTTCGTATTCAGCGGGAAAAAATATGTAACCTTTGTATGCAATATTTTTTTTGGAAAGGAATGGGTTTCCATTTAAAAAATCAAATGACATTGAAATGACTTTGATAATTGGCTAAGATCAAGGTAATTTGATCCCCCTGAAACCTGACAACTTTTGTTTGAAATATTTTTCACCATCTTGCTTAATTCTTGAGATTTACAATGGAACAACAGTAAAAGTATAGAGCACTCTAGCGAGAGAACGAAACATTTTCAAAAAAAAAAAACATACAAACGTTACGTATTTTTTCCCTCAGGTTTCCATTTAAAAAATCAAGATTGACCTTGAAACGACCTTGATAATTGACTAAGGTTAATATCAAGTTCACGGTAATTTGATCCCCCTAAAACCCGACAACTTTTGTTGAAAATATTCTTCACCATCCTGCTTATTTCTTGAGATAGCCCGAGAATTAAAATGGAACAGTAAAAGTATAGCGCACTGGCGAGAAAACGAAGTATTTTCAAAAAAATGTTTCATGCAAAAGTTAAGTATCTTTTTCCAGCAGAATACGAATCTGCAATGAAAAATGAGTTTCCATTTAAAAAATCAAGGTTAACCTTGAAATGACCTTGATAAATGACTTCAAGGTCACCATAATTTGATCTCCTCGAAACCTGATAATTTTTGTTCGAAATATGTTTTTATTATAAAAATCGAATTAAAAAAATTATGCGTACATTTAAAGACAATTTACTTATTTCCACCATTTTTGTCTCACTAGGTATGTTAAAAATTACAGTAGATCGTTTGATAAGAGGAAGGAACAATTTTTTTAATTAGTGAGCAGTACTAATTGTAAGACATTTTTTGAAATCAAGATATTTCTTTATATCGAAGTATATTATTATTTCATCTTCACTCACCCCTTCAATTACAGTGTAGATATTTAGAAATGAACACAATTTTTAATGTGTGTAATCAGTCTTATGTTAATATTAAAGTTATTTTTTTTATATATAAATCGTTTCCTAGAAATGTTTTTGAACTACTGTAACCGCAAACACTAACTTATTCAATTTGAAATTATTTTAAACAGAACTTCTTCCCTAACTGACTGAAAAATCCCTATTTTTTAGATATAAAATTTTAAATAATGGCAGGGATTTCCAAAGGAGGGATTTTGTATCTAAAATTTGAAGTATTGATTTTGGAGTTTGGCGCCAAACTTGCGATATTTATATTTGACGTTTCCTTACATTTCGTACAGGCACAGCTACAAAATTGAAAAAATAAAATATTTTCCAGTTGTTCCAAAGTGCTTTAAACCAATTTTTTACTTGGTAAATAAATTATTTGAAACTTAGATCATCCTTAAAGTTTTTAATTATGAGTGAAAAGAAATATTTTGCGTTTCACTTTTCGATAATAATAAACGGTATTGGTAACGAATCTGGTTATATTTCAGGTGTGCAATTTACTTTCAGCCTCCATTATTCCTTTTTTTGAGTAACTGATTTTGAAAGTATTAATGCTTACAAGCTTGCCGACAGGTTGACTAGCATGCTTCTCGGTGTGGTAGACTTAAAAAGAGCACTTTTTCTTTTAACACTCCCACGAACGTTTCTATTTTTGTTACATAATCATCACATATTAAAACATTTTTTTTCTCTGATCGTATGTAACATCTTTGAGAAACGTTCGCCTCACTCTATCGGAGCCCCGTATCGCTTGCACCTATTCATCTATCACTCGTTCACCAATAATTTCTGATGTTATCTGTCTGATTGACTAAAGTAGAAAAAAAATAAATAAATTGACCTTAATCAGGAGATAAGAGACAGTTTGAGACTTGCTCATGCATAGGGACCCAGTGATAGTTGTTGTCGGAACAGTTCCTTCTCTTTTGGTGAAAGTTTTTATTTATTGTCCACACATACACACACACACACGCAGACCATTAACAAACGTAGGCCCTATTTCTGTATTTATTTTAGACTTTTTTTTTGCAGTCCGATTTGCACGAGGGACGTACGGTAGGTACAGATTTCGGGCCTCTGTAGGTGAACTTAACCCGCATGCATGCCGGTAGAGTCGTAACAGGAATTAACCTACTAATTTTGAGTTGGTAGCTCTAATAATAGATTACCCGTTGAGAGAATCTTTATTAGTGCAGGTTTCGGTAGAGTTTTCGGTTGATAACTGTAGAATGTAGTATTTATTACGTTGAAAACGTTTTTATTTTGTTTTACACCATCCAACACAGGCCAGAGCTCAATTATGGGAATTTGCAAAAAAAAAAGATTAAAAAAATAATGAAAAAATAAAATATGTTAAAAAATATGATGTATCAAAATATTCAACAATAATTACAAAGTGACATTAAAAGTATATTAAAATTAACAGTTGAAAAGCTTTACTTTAAATGAAAACGTCAATTGTCAAAATAAGTGAAAATTACAAATGAACTATTAAAAAAATTAGTCCCAGAAAATGGATGGCTTACAAATACTCGTATAAGAATGGAAGCTTCGATGTCGATTAATTTATTAAGAATGGAAGCTAAAAATTTTTTAATTCAATAAAATACAGGGCGTAACTTTGAATGGGGGTCATATTTATACAGGGTTTACCTTTGACCTTTAGTAACACACATCATAAGTTCTATTTCTCAAATTCCGTCATGAAAACTATAGTAGGATCATATTCGATGCAAAGTAATAAATGTCAAGCGATCCAGTGCAGTACGGTTTTAAGGGGTTTAGAAATTGATTAATTTTTTCAAGTATTATGAAGGGATGAAAGGATCAGTTCAAGTCTAGCACCCCTGTTCTTACAAAAATTCCTTTATTCTCATAAACTATTTATTTTAAATGTAATTTATTATAAATCCAATTTGTTTTTTAAATTCCGCATATGTAGGTACTACATTTTACCTCTGTACGCGCCACTGTTGTCTACTTGTATTTTGGAGGCGGTCTCTGATTTACGACCAAGCTCGCCAGGTCAGTATTTGACGTGTAACCGACCACTTCGTATACTCGATGCACCTGGACGACTACAGCTACTACCAGAAGAATGAGTATGATGCGGTATTTTAGATTTTACATTCAATTTCATTTTAAATTTGAAATGGTTCATCTTACGCGTCCTAAAAATAATGACACGATTTTCCTTTGATAAAAGACCGAGAATTTTTTGCTCTATTCTGCATCGAATACGATCCTACTATATATTTTTTTTAATCTTTTTTTCATAGAACTTACAGAAATTTAACAACGAAGACACACAAACACACGTAAACGCAGATATTAATAACTTTATAAGGTTATACACTTACACTGTACAAGATATTTCATCATACAGAGTGTTAAAATTTATTAAGTTAAGCAGTTAACCACATATTCTTTGGACTACAATAATGGGACTTTTCTTATGCCACTTTTCATTTCGGAGACAAATTTTCAAAATACAAAATTTAAAAAATAATTTTTATTGATAACTTCGGTGATTGTAGAGATGTTTATTTGAAATTTAGCACATATTTTGATCTTAAGTCGGCACACTTTTTGTGTAATTTTGGTTTAAAATGTCAAAGCGCGAACGGAGGGGAGGGGGGTTGCAGTACCCATGAACCCCCTATATATGTTTTTTTTGAGTACGCCTATGCTTTCCGAGTATTTTTTCTTTAGATAAAAATAATAAAAGCCTCATATATTGTAACTTTTTTGGATACACGATATCGATTTAGTCGACGTTAGACTTTATTTTTTGGGACTATATGAAAGATTTGAGTAATAAAAATCTTAAAAGAGTAAAAAAATAGAATAAAACACCTCTTTATCTAAAAAAATATTCGGAAAGCATAGGCGTACTAAAAAAAATAGGGGTCTATGGGTGCTGCAACTCTCCCCTTAATATCAATATATGTTCTATATTTCAAATAAATATAAAAAATCACCGGAGTTATCAATAAAAATCATTTTTTAAGTTTTAATTTTGACACCCTGTATTTTGAAAATGTGGTTCCGAAGTGAAAAGTGGCATAAAAAAGCCCCATTATTTCAATGCAAAGAATATGTGGTTAACTGCTTGACCCACTAATTTGTAACACCCCGTATATGAATTTAAATACACACCACTATAGGAATTCTATTTCGATTCGAGGAAAAACTTATTAACTAAACTAACTAAAATAAATGTGAAATGAGCCTGTGACATATTTGGCCATTCTCGTTTTGAGGAATGAACGTTGACCGTTTGTTTTTTGATTGCTTAGCGTTCTGTTCTCATATCACATCAGGTGGATTGATATCGTTGATTCAGACTCACGAACTAAACACAGTGTTTTAAAAAATAGTAACATACGCCTTTTGTTAAAAAATGATTAAAAAAGAAATCAAATCTGTCAGATTAGTATTTCTATTTTTTTATGTATATTTTGTTGAACAGTAAAAATAATTATTTTAAAAGATGTAAACCAATATAGGTTTTATTTAATTAATATGATGATACAGTGGGTACATACAAATTTATACTCAAATAACTCAACACATGTACCGTGACGGTTGATCAACTATTAACTGAGAATGGTGATATATTCGAGCAAGAGGGAGCTCCGACGCCATTGATTGAGCATCACATTCGTACTACAGACCAAACTCCGATTGCTACACACTCATCCTCTTAGTTTCCACAAAAAATGATTTCTCCGACAAGAGTTGGATAGATAGATAACATTAGGTATTATTGAAGAGTGCGAATCACCTTGGACAAGTCCAATTGTACTGGTCCCTTAGAAAGACAACTCCAATTCGATTATGTGTCGATTATCGACGTTTAAACAGTGTCGCAGTCGCAGATACATATGTAATGCCTAGGTTAGATGAATTGCTTCAGTTACCGTTTATGACTACGATAGATCTTCAGTCTGGATATTGGCAAGTTCCGGTAACTTTAGAAGACCGTGATAAAACTTGCATCACCACATGTTTTGGTACGTTTTGGTTCACAAGGATGTCTTTTGGGTTACGAAATGCCGTTGCAACCTTCATGCGAATGATGAATCGGTTCCGTGCTACCTTAGGGGATCGGTTGATTTTCGCTTACCTAGACGATATTTGGTGTTGTCCGAATCATTTGCTAAACACAGTATTCGAAAGACTTAGACAGTGCTGTTTACATGTTCGAAGTAGAAGAAAAGTTTCCTATTTACCTAGAATGTGCAGAAGTAACCATTGCCACTGATCATCAACCCTTACAGTGGTTGCTCTCCATTAAATCTCCTTCTGACAGTTTAGCCGGATGGGCAATGCGAATTCAAAGTCTAAACATGAAGATAGTCAAACCTACAAATTCTTACCAACGCCTTTGGTACCCAAGAAGAAGAGGGGACGGCCGAAAAAAAACCTAGCAGATTTCCACTATGTCTTGTACTTCGCCGGAGGACCGTATGCGTAGTACAGAGGGGGAGTGTGTAGAGAAAGGACATCATTTACTATTCTCGTATTTTGTTTTATCTCTTTATAAGTTAGTTGACGTTGACGTCTAACCAAGTGTCACGGTACTTGTGTTATTTGAGTATATTTGTATGTACCCACTATACCATCATATTCATTAAATAAAACTTATATTGGTTTACAAAATTAAATTAGTTTTACATGGAAATAGTAATGCATATTTATCCACACATAATATTTAATAAATCATGGGGGAAAAAGAAATTTTAAGAACATCAAAAAAAATATATATATGACTAAAATAACATGTTCCAAAGTCGTACGAAAGCAGTCTGTTTTACACAATTATTTTCCATTAAAAGTTTCGCTCTCTGCTATTTGGTTAGTTTCCTACAACTAGTTACTGCCCAGTAACGGCGTAGACGAAAATTTGAGTGCTGTTTAAAACATGAATTATAAAATTGACTATTTAAAAAAAGCCTAAAGAAAATGACCCCTACTTAAATTTACACCCTGTATTCAAATTATCAACACATTCTCACAGCCGATCGATTTATCCCGAATAATAATTCGTCAGGCTTGGCAGTAGTTGGATAATATCAAATTTTTTGATAAGATTATTGCAATATTTACTATCTTAACAGTTTTAATACGATATCATTCGCTCAAGGTGTATTATATGTCTGATAAAACCTACCAAAACCATAATACAAATGACCCAGAATGAAATTCATAATCCTTTTTATTACTTGATAACAGATACAGAACAATATCAGACTGCAGTGAATTCAAACTAAAGCAAATAAACCAACTAAACTTAATTTTTAGCTGAACTTATGAATTCTAATTCCAATTCATTTTTTTTTGCAAAAAAGTAACATGAAAAGCTTGTTTGTATCAAAAATGGAAATTTTTTTCAAGCCTTGGAAGCGCCCGACGATGTACCACCCATTTCACCGTAACATAAGCATTATTTTCCTATTAATTCCCAAGTCTTAAAAGACTATTCCTTGTTGCAGACATGAAGCCACCCCAGTTACCCCCGGGCGTCACCCAGAAAGACGTGGAGCTCTTCAAGGAGACGAGGGAGAAGGCCGCGGCTGCCACGGCTGCTCTTCTACCCGTCGTTCCTCCCGAAGCCCCCGCCCCGGTTGTTATCGTGTCCCCCTCGCAGTGCATGGCGGCCCAAGGCAGGTTAGTAGATATGAATTTATTTTAATCGGTGAAGTACGAGTTCGTACAGGGTGTTTACGAACTTGGAGATTTGTTTTTAGTGAGATATGTTTTGATTAAAGAATCACATGAAAATTCTTGTCTTAGTCGAATTTATTTATTTCTTAATACTGGAGGTTCAAAATTAACGGAAATATGAGTTGTTTAAAAAAAACATTTTTTTTTTTCAGAAAAATCGTAAAATTTGGAAAAAACAAAAAAATTCAGAACAATTGAACATTCTTTATAATGTGGACTATAGAGGTTTCTTAGTCACTATGTTTACCAGTAAAAATATTATACAGGGTGTCCCGAAATTAATGCAACAAAATTTGGTCATAGATTCTTAAGACAAATTTAGGGGATCCGTCTACAAACTAACACAAATGTTGTTTTGCTTCACCATAATACAAATGTTGTTTTGCTTTGCCATAAATTAAAACGATATCCATCAACTTCAAGTTGCTATACACGCAAGCTGTTTTTGACACTAACTACTAAAAAACACTATCACAACGACGACTGTAAAATCGGATTTTAGGATTGGGAGTCACTAAGACCATGTGGCTCTCACGCGTATTGCGAATGACGCTAGAAATTATTGTTGTCCAGCTATGTAATGGTTGAAAGTACTACGACTTCAAGTTTTTTTCCCGGAAACTGTAAGGATTTTACAAATTTTTTTTTACGATATTGACTCCATTTCTCATGCCGCATCTATTCCCAAATATTTTTGGATAAGTTGTGAATTACCCTGTATACGTTCAGATTACACGAATGATATGTAGAAATTAAGCAGGCAAGGAACTAGCAATTGTCTTTCCAGCTTGATAAAATCTAGGATCAAATGTTTTTTCAGTGATGACTACAAAAAATATTTAAACAAATATTTTCCACTCTTATAATAGAGATATTCTCTATAAAGTGCTGAATTTTAACCAGAACCTGATTGATCCACTTTCTCTAGGTGTCCTGCGGCTATCGAGTTTGGCAAGTACGAGATCCAGACGTGGTACTCGAGCCCGTTCCCCCAGGAGTACGCCCGGCTGCCCAAGCTCTTCCTCTGCGAGTTCTGCCTTAAATATACCAAGAGCAAGGCGGTACTGGAGCGCCACCAGGACAAGTGTACCTGGCGGCACCCGCCGGCCACCGAGATTTACCGTTGCAAGGACCTGTCGGTGTTTGAGGTGGACGGCAACGTTAATAAGATCTATTGCCAGAACCTGTGTCTGTTGGCGAAGTTATTCTTGGACCATAAGACTTTGTACTACGACGTGGAACCGTTTCTGTTTTACGTGTTGACGAAGAACGACAAGAAGGGGTGCCATCTGGTAGGGTATTTCTCGAAGGAGAAGCACTGCGTGCAGAAGTATAACGTGTCCTGTATTATGACGATGCCGCAGTACCAGAGGCAGGGATACGGGAGGTTCCTGATAGATTTTAGTAAGTACATTTTTTTAAATAGTTTCTATGGTAAAAACCTCTACGGACACCTTTAAACAGTTTTTAATTGGTACTGTAAGGTATGAGACAAGAACCTTCTCCTATTTGCGTCTCTGCTCAAAGAAACGGCATTTTTTCTTCATTATTTATCCCCTCCTCTAAATAATGGACAACCATATACCCCCAACATTTTCGAATTCTCCGTTGTGTAATGGGTTTTTAACTTTTGTCCGTTATAGGTTATTTGCTTTCCAAAGAAGAGGGTCAACCCGGAACACCGGAAAAACCACTCTCCGATCTCGGCAGAGTTTCCTACTACGCCTATTGGAAGTCCGTCGTGCTGGAATACCTCCACGCCCACCGTACCGAGAAACTCAAGCTGACCGACGTCAGTCGGGAGACGGGCATGTACTGCCACGACATCGCCCTGGCTCTGCAGCTGCTCGGTTTCATCAAATACATGCCTACCGACGACGGACACAGACCTTTCATATGCGCCGATTGGGCCAAAGTGGACAGTCACGCCCAGAGGGTGTCCAAGTCCAAGATGAGGATCCCCATCGATCACGAGTGCCTCAGGTGGACGCCCCTGCTCAACACCACGGTGAATCCGTTCAGGGAACCGAAATCGGACGAAGAGAAGGAACAGGGCCTGGCGGAAACGGCGGACATAGTCGTGCCGATGCCCGAGAAGATAATTATAGAGACCCAGCAAGGCGTGAAACTTAAAAGGGGCAAGAAGAGGAAGATATCCACCGCCCCTCCTAGGACGCCCAAGACGCCCAAGCTGCCTGTCGTCGTTCCCGTGGAAAACAACGAAAATACGGAAGAAGTGGAGATCACGTCGTCGGGTAGGAAACGTACCAGGCCGAGTAAATTCAATGAAACGACATACGCCGACATTAAGCATAAGAGTTCCAGCGACGTTAACTCGAAGAGGAAACGGAACGATTCTGCCATTAACGGTAAAGATGGAGAGACGGAGAAGAAGAAGGCGAAAGTCGATACACCTTCAGTTAAAAGTGAAATGGTACCAGTTCAAGTGGAAACGACTCCAAACGAGTCCAAGACGCCTCGAAGGGGTGCTCCGAAGGTGGTGGAGGAGACTCCTAAACGGCCACCAGAGGTAAGATCGTACATAACTTTAACAGTGATACAGAAACACATCGTACCTTCTCTAAACACTGAAAATTTATTAAATACCACTAAATTTTAACATAAAATTAAACTCTACCGTTTCTTTTTTGATCACTCAGTACCCTGTTGCTATCACATCAGGCGGATCGACATGTTTCATCTAAACTAGGTCAAAGTCAAAGGTCATTAGCACTAAAATTCACAAACTAAACACAGTGCTTTAAGATGATTTGGCACTTTGGCACCCCTACTAAATGTAACACTCCGTGTATATTTTTATTTTATTTTTAGGTTGTGGAAGACACTCCCAAAACCAATTCCGCAACAAGGCCAAAGAGGGGAGCGGCGCATACCAAAGAAAAAGTGGTGGGCGAGCGGTGGTCGCAGCGTAGAGTGAAGAAACAACAGGAACTGGAAAAACAACAGGAATTAGAGAAAGGCAAGCAACTTGCGACGGAAAATGTGAAGGAAAAAGAACAGGAAATCAAACCCGTACAGCGACCTGTTGAAAACGCAAAGGAAAAAGACGCGCCGCTGTTGGAGAAGCAGAACGAAACACCTGACATGCCAGCAGCGAATTCAGTCGACTCGGCCGCTCCCAGTCTCACCCCGCAGATCAAAAGGAGGCCGAGGACGGTGAAGAAGAAACGGGGTTGGGTGAAGGGTAGGGCACGGGGCAAATTGCACGAGAAACAATTGACCCTGCCCGATCTGATAAAAACCAAGCTGCAGAAAGACAGCGAGAGCGAGTCTTTGATTTCGGAAAAATCCGACGAAGAACCGGCGGTTAAGAAAGATTTAGCCACCACCCCCATCAGCTTGGAGAAACGGGAGAGAGTCAAGAATAGGAAGGAGGACAAAATCAAGAGAACTTCCAGGATATCGACGGAGGAGGATTCCAGCGCCGAGGCCGACGACGAGATGGAGAACGACGAGCTTCCCGTGACGAAAGACTCGTCGCCCGGCAGTAAATACAAGTTTAGCAAGACTTCGCCTATCAAGGAAGCCGTTCACAAGGATCTCCTAAGGACGCCGACAAAAGTCGGCGATAAGAGCGAGTCTATATCTCCCAAGGTGGATAAACCCAAGTCTCCGGTGTATTCCACCACCTCGGAATCGGAATTGGAGATCGACGGACAGAAGATCAAGACCATATCCCGCAAGGAGGTGTTCGAGGGGACCCTGATAACGCCTCATATCAAGCAAACTGAGCCTAGCAGCACTGTGATAACCAATTCTAAAGAGAACAAGCAGCCCACGCCCAAGGAAATTCCAGAGAAACCTTGCGGTGGCGATGTCTTGCCGAAACCGTCCGAGACGACTTTCGAGAATTCGATGGAAATCGAAGAGAATATAACGGAATCGGGCCGGAAATCCACGGATATGGAAATAGAGAAGTTCGACGATGATAGGAAGGATACGATCATCGTACCGAAGATGACTTCCACGCCAAAGAAAGAAGAAAAACCTGCCTCGGAGCCAGTACAAAGCGTTTCCACCCCCGTAATCAGCAAAGTGGACAATGAGAAACCTCCTCAAGAAATTATAAAGCAGGAATTACTAAGTTCTGTACCTAAAACCGAGTCCCTGCCGGAGAAATCTCAAATTCGAGTTCCCGAGGAAAACCCCATGGCTCCCGTTGAGAGAGTCGACAGACAAATATGTCCCGAACCCGCGGTTACGGTTGGAAAAGTAGCGGTTCCTACTCGGGAAGTTGAAAAACCAGTAACGCACGACCACGTTGTTGAAAAACCGTCTGTTGAGGCGATCGAAAAGACAAGTGAAAAGGTGCTCAATCAAATTCAACCGGTGGAACAATCAACTCAACAGAATCACACATCAGACAGAACCGTCATTAGTCAACCGGTAGAAAAACATTTGAAAACCACTGAAAGCATGGCTAACGACAAACCGGTAGAGAAAATAGTGCAAACCGCTGAAAAGTCGCCCTCAAATCAAGTCGTACAAATGGATAAACCGATATATTACAACCAGTCAGTGGAAAAACCGTTACATCATACTCAACCGATTGAAATACCACTTAACCGCAACCAATACACCGAAAAACCGATTAACTTCAACCAGCAAATCGAGAAACCGATAAATCACCACCAACAAGCTGAAAAACCGGTGATACATAACCAACCGGTTGAAAAACCAATCATCCAGAGCCAGTCGGTTGAAAAACCGGTGATCCTCAACCAACCGAACGAAAGACTGATCGTGATGGACCAGAAACCGCCCATGTTCGAACGTTCCCCGCCTGCGCTTCAGGAGAGCAAAGTAGAGAAACACTCTCCGAAGGAGGTGAAGCACGTACCGCAACCGTGCGACGTTAGGGAGCCCATCAAGCCGAAAGAGGAGCCCAAGGTCTCCCCCAAACAAGAACCGATCAAGATGGAGAGCAGACCGAAGGTGGAAAAGTACGAGGATAAACGTTACCACCAGAAAATCGCTCACGAGGAAAAAACCGCTTACGACGCTCAACAAAAAGTGCACATGGACAGCGAGAGCTTGCTGGCCAACGCGATGGCCTCCCAGAACTACCACCACCTGTCGCAGGCGCAGTACCAGTGGCAAAGAGAGAGGCTGTGGAGTATCTACTACGACCCAAAAAGGGAATATCCCACTTACTCGGTGTTACCTCAGTTCCCACCGTTGGATATGCTGCCGAAACAACCCAGTTGCGAGAAAGAGAAGAGCGTCTCCTCTAAATCGCACGGACATTCAAGCAGCCGTACGAGCGGGAGCAGCAAATCCAAAGACGGCGGCAAAAGCGACAAGAACTCGTCACCTAGAAAAGACGAACGCAACAAGAGGATGGAGGAGAGCTACAACCAAATGAAAATGGGCGATGTTCACAAGAACTCGTCCAGTTGTTCTTACAACTCTCACAACGTGAAACACTCCACGACCAGTCCAGAAAAACCGGAGAACAAGAACAAATCCGACCAAGACGAGCAACACAACGAATCGAGCCAACAACAGGTGCAGACGTCCGTGAAACACACCCCGCCGACGCCCTCGGCGCCGGACATCCCCTCGATGGGCGTCTACACCCCCGATTCCACCACGAATTCCGTCCACAGTCTCCATTACGGCCAGTGCGAGTTGGACGTGGCGCAGTTGGGGCTTGAGTCCCCGGCGAGCATCTCCAGCGATATGGCGTCGCAGAACTCGGTGGAGGCCGTCAGGCCGCCGTCGGCGATTACCCAGGCCCCCGCGCAGCAGCAGCAGCCGCCGCCGCCTCCGCAGACGAACTACGACTGTTCCGTGCAGCACAACATGCAGCAGCAGAGCCTGCAGTCGCAGCAGGGCGCGACGGTACCCGCCTCGAGTCCGAATATGAGCGGGTCGGGAGCGATGCAGATGCCGCAGCAGCAGGCTGCGCAGATGCACCAGAATAGTACCAGTAAGAGGCAGATGCAGCAGCAGAGGAACAGGTGAGAGCTGGAGTTTGAGTTTTTGAGTTAGTCGTTGGATTTAATCGAAAATAGAGGGAAAAATTATAAATTACTTCTTCGTCGCCTCTTGAGAAGTTATAAGAGGGTTATAGTACAAATTGTTAAAAAATTGCGTACCTGACGGCACCCAAGTAGTAACTTTAGCATGGCGTGCTGTAGGGATCACTTTTAGGGCCTATTCTATTTATATCACTTATTAATGACTTATTACATAAAACAATATATTATTGGGATGCCGCAGGGATCAGTTTTAAAGCCTGTCCTCCCTCTTTTGCATATTAAGAGGGTTCTATAGGAAATAGGCAACCAGTAATACATTTTTATAGATTTTATTAGACAATTTGTCTAAATATGAATCAATGCACAAATAACAGACTTTCCTCCATTCTAACGCAGCTTTTCTATAAAATGGAGTTAGTTTGAAACTCAAATTACTTTTTGATGTAAAGAAATTTGTAATTTGCCGCCATTAGCATCGTAAATTACAAATTTCTTTATACCAAAAAGTTATTTGAGTTTGAAACTAACTCCATTTTATAGAAAAACTGCGTTAAAATGGAGGAAAGTCGGTTATTTGTGCATTAATTCATATTTAGACAAACTGTGTAAGAAAATCTATAAAAATGTATTGCTGGTTGCCTATTGCTATAGAACCCTCTTAAGAAGTTATAAGAGAGTCACGGTACAAATTGTTAACAAATTACCTAGCCGACAGCACCCAAGTAGCAACCTTAGCATGGCGTGCTGCAGGGATCAGTTTTAGGGCCTATTCTATTTATATTATTTATTAATGACTTATTACGTAAAACCATATATTATCAGGATGCCGCACAGTGGAAAATATTGGAAAAAATTGGAACCACGCGTCAAAACTAATCAAATAGTACTGATTTTTTTTTATTCTTTCCGAAATTACTTGTACTATGAAGTTCTGGTGAGGTAATTGGAATATATGCCTAGAATTTTTTCAAAATGGTCAAGTAATCTCTAGCCTCAAACTTTTACATATTCGGTATCTAAAAATGAAAAAAAAAAAAACAGGAAAATTATGTACTAAAGTATGCCAAACAAAAAAAAATCATAAACATTAAACATTAAACATATTCCTAAATCATGAATCTAGACCCAAAACATAACCTCAAATTTAAAAATCTTGACCTAAAACGAACATACTCAATCTTTTTTAACCCAGTGAGTATAAATCCATAAAAATGGTATTTTTGAGTGTGCAACCAATATTTTTGCAAAACTTTAACTCAAATTCATAGGAAGCTGACCAGGAAACCTGAAAACCTAACCTCAAATACAAAATAATTAAGTTAAAAATCCACAGAAACAATATATTTTCTTCAGTAAAGGATATGATTGCTTCAAAAAGACATTCTGTAATATATGTTTTCCTGTGCATACCTAAAATTTAAATCCATGAAACGTAACCTTAAAGGACTAGAACCTAACCTCAAATGTATAAAATTTAAGCTAAAAATAAAAAAATGTGAAGTTTCATCTCGATCTAGCGAACCGTTTCTTTGTTTCAGTCAAACTTTTGAAAAATATTAGTCACTAAACACTTAAAAAAAATTTCTTTTGAGGTTTTGTCACATTTTTAACGCAAATAACATTTAAATTGCTAAAAAAAATTTTTTCAAAGAAAAAAGGTTAGTTTTGAAAAAAAATCTTCTAAGTGATTACAGACTGCACAAAAATTAATTAGAAATTTGTCTAAAAAAAAACGGTATGAATCGGGGGTCGAAATCTGGTTTGGGTCATCAACTTTAATTTTAATTTAATTAAAAGTTGATGAATAGAAGCATAGGGCGGAAAAGCCGAATCGTGCTAGAAACAATTAGATTTTGTTTTCTTCAATGTCCGGAAGGTTTTCCAAAAAAACAAAAAAAACTTCAAAACTCGAAAATTATTTATTCACAACTTCCAAATACATATTTTAAATTTACTCAATTTTATGCCATTATTGCTTTGGTAGTTTGAAAATCAAAGTATAAATAATACTTTGATTTTCCAACTTCAAATATTTTAGTTCATTTATTTAATTGAATTTTCCAAAATTTTCGTATTTCATTATAAAATGTGTTATTACCCCAGATCGAACACGCCCTCATCCAACAAGCAGCACGGCATCAGCCGTTCCACCCCCCCGAGTGCCACACAGCAGCACGTCCAGCAGAACAGGCAGAGGGCGACTCCGCCCTCCAGCAGCGCCGCCCAGCAACTGCAGCACGTGCAGGCCAGTCCGTCGGCCCAGCACCAGGGCATGCAGCAGCAGCATCACGGAGGTGCCGCGGCGCAACAACTGCAGCCTCATCTGCACCACCAGGTGGCCGCCGTGCACCAGGGGTACCAGTATCAGTTGGGCGCTTCCCCCGTTCACCAGCACCCCCACCACGCCCACCACCACTCTGTGATCAACCAGGGAAATTATATCCCCGTGGCGGCCAGCACGCAGGCCTTCCCCTCCCAGGCTACGAGTACCTACGTGAGCGTTCCCATGACGACAGTGATCCAGCACAGGTGAGACGATCTTTTCTTTAATATTCAAACGGAATTCATCTGTAAATTATTTTTTTTGTTTTATCTCCAAGTAGTTCATTTAACTTCTTACATTTAATGAAAACAGTTTCATTTTGAAAAAATTCATAGTAATATATAGATTGCAAAACCTAACCTAACTTACACCTTGATTAAAAAGCGAAGATAATTTTTCCAGTTCTGTAAAACTAACTATACTCAATAAGATCCCTGGAAATAGAACTTACTTTATTATGGGCTTATTTTCTTCCAGAATGAGTGCGCAACAAAGTGGAGTCAGTCCCCTGAGCACCTTAGGCGCTTCCCACCAGAAACTGGCTTCAAGCCCCAGTTGCGCCGTAACTTCCGGCACGAATTTCTACATCCAAACCAACCCCCACACCCATTCCCACACGCCCGGGCCCACGCCCACCCCCTCGCCTGCCCAGCAGGCAAATCCCGGTCAAACCCCCTCCGGTAACGCAAGCTGCAGCCTCGCGAAGCTCCAACAGCTCACCAACGGCCTCGACATGATCCCCACTTCGTGCAACACCATGACCCCGCCCCCCACCGCTATGACCCTCACGCCGCCCCCGACGCACCACCCGCACGCCACGATGACCCCACCGCCGTCGCACCAGATGATACAGAATCAGACGGTGCGAAACCTGACCCCGCCGTCCGCCATACCCCCGAACCTCCAACAGCAGGTGCTGGGCTACCACAAGTACTACCAGACGAACATGAACGTCAACCAACTGAGCGGCGCGGTGACTCCCCCCATCGGGCAGAACCTGGGCCGGTCGGGGCGAAATTCGAGCAACGTGGCCGCGATGCAGCACATGCAGACCCCCTCGAGCAGGGTCAGCCCGAACGTGACGCTCAACCCCAACGTCATGTACAACATGAACAGTTACCGGATGGCCCCGCAACAGGCGCCGAGCGCCGTTACCGGTTATATAGCGAACACGGCGGCCGGTTTCATCAACAACCAGATTCCCATGCAGATGATGAACATGGCCCAGGCGCAGTACCAGGACCCGGCGGCGTTGCAGAGGGCGCAGCAGAACACGATGTACACCGCTTACATCAACGGGATCATGCAACCCCTCAACGGTACTATGAGACGTTAATGTCTAGTCGGTGGATGTATGATCGTTGTACCCCGAATTTCTAACTTTATTCGTCTTTGAAAGTGGGAAACGTCGGACGTTTGAGACGTGCGAGGAGAATTCGACGATGGATTGACGGAATTTGAAGGTTAGTGTGAGTTTTTCGTAATAAGTTTGCGTTTATTATGACGGAACGCGGTAGAATGGAAATCGGTAAGTTATGAGTATGACCGGAAGAAATGAATAATGCCCTGTTTCGTTTTTTCTTTTTTTCAAGGAATATAAAAAATTTGTTTTTTTTTATTTATGCTGACATTTTTTTATTTTAAGATTATACAGGGTGTTCCAAACCGCTTAAGCCCAACGGTACCTTCTTACAGATCTAAAAAAAAACATTTTTATAAACGTAGATACGGGAAATGCTTAAATTTTGAGTTACAGGGTGTTCAAGTTGAAATTTCTGAGTGTTTTTTTATGTATTTATTTAAAATGCGTTATGATAAACAAATTTACACAGACATTCCACTTTTTATCTTTTTTGTTACATAAAATGGCAGCTGTGAATCAGAATCATTCAGGGGTAATTACGGTATCTTGTTGCGTGATGTTTTTCCACTTATTCAAGTCCAGAACTTCCCAATTTGGATTTTTTTACACGAAAAACGTCTTGCGTTTTTTTTACCCTGGTTTTGCACGATAATATTTTTTATGTAAAATTTTGGTATACACGTTGCGAGGAATATTTATCTGATATTTTTAACGTGTATTTTCTCGCCTATTCAATGATTATTTTGAGAAAATCTTTTCTAAATATGCTTTCTCGTATTTTGTATCAAAATTGAGCACATCCGTGTTTCATGAATAAAATATTATAATTAAATTAAAATTGAAAAGTTTTTCTTGCAACAAATACACAAATTTTTCATGAAAAATATCGCCGTGTAACGTTAGGATTAAAATTATTTATTTTCGAGCATAAATTTAGAAATTAATGTGGAAAACGAAATTAAACAATATTTTATATTAAAAAGATTTTTTTTGTTAAAAAAATTAGAAATTTTAATTTTCTGCTCTTAAATAAGTAAAAGAATATTTCGCCAAACTTGGGAGCCTAAGTAAAATTATGTACCATCTTTTTTTTCCCTTTACTTTTCTCTTTTTTCCCTTTTATTTAATTTGAGAACTTAAAAATTTGGATTTTTTACTCGAAAAATGTCTTGCATTTTCATTTACCTTTATTTTAAACGATAACTTTTTTTATGTAAAATTTGGGCAAACTTGTTGCGAGAAATATTTTTTTGATATTTTAACGTGCATTTTGGCGCTTATTCAATAATTGTTTCGAAAAAATTTAAAAGTTGTAAAAATTTATGACTGCGTTTTTTAAAGTTAAAATTTTAGAATTTTTTCTTGCTACAAATATGTGTATAAATTTTGCTAGAAAAATATTGTCATTTAGGACTAGGGTTCAAATTACTCATATTCGAGTGCAAGTGATTTGAATTTAATCATATAATTGAGGAAACCAAAATTAGATATAATTTGTTTATTAAATAGGCATTTTTTTTGTAAAATTTTAAAGTTGTCTTCTTGAATAAAAGAAAAAATGTTAACCAAACTTAGGAGCTTGGGGAGAATTTCGAACCTTTTTTCATGTGGTTTTTTCACTTATTAAGATCAGAATCTCAAAATCTGGATCTTTTTACTCAAAAAATGTCTTGCATTTTTACTTATCCTGGTTTTTATACGAAAATATTTTTGTAAGCAAAATTTGGTATATTTGTTGCAAGAAATGTTTTTTTTTTCTTATAATTTCAGAACAGTCAATAAGTTTCGAGATTTTTTTTTTTCTAAATATTTTCATATTTCAACACAAAAAATTGAACCCAAATGAAGTTAAAATATCAAAATGTTATTTCTTGCAACAAATATGTACACGCAAATTTTGCATGAAATACATTGTCCTGTAAAACGGAGAAAAAATTATTTATTTTTTATTGCAAATTATTTAAATTTCATTTAATTCAGGAAAATAAAATTTAGATATTTTTTATTAAACGGATATATTTCTGTGTAAAAACTCCAAATTTTAAAGTCCTCTTAAATAAGAAAAAAAATGTTAACCAAACTTAGGGCCTTGCGTAGAATTTTGCGCCGTCTTTTGTCTTTTTTACTTTATAAAGACCAAAACCTCAAAATTTGGATAATTTTACATAAAAAACGTCTTGAATTTTTACTTACAATATTTTTTGTATGCAAAATGGGGTACATATTTTTGCAAGAAATGTTTTTTCTGATATTTTAACATGTATTTTAGAACATATTTAATAATTTTTTTGAAATTTTTCTCATATTTTAATACAAAAAATTGACCAGGAATGAAGTTAAAATATCAAAAGGATATTCTTGCAACAAATATCAAATTATTTAAATTTAGTCGTTTAAATAAGGAAAACAAAATTAGATAACATTTTTTATCAAACATGTTCTGCGTAAAAAAGATCCTTTTATAAAAGTTCTGCTTTTAAATAAGCGGAAAAATGTTAACATCAAACTTGGCATTCTAGTTAAAATTTTATCCCATCTTTCCGTATATTTCCATATATTTTTCTATTTATTCAAAACTAAAATTTCAAAATTTGGGTTTTTTACACAAAAAAACATTTTGTTATTATTTACTTTGGTTTTATATGAAAATATTTTTTGTGTACATTTTATGTATCTATTTTTGTTGAGAAATATTTTTCTGATACTTTAACCTGTATTTTGTCCCATAATTGTTTTGAAAAAATATTTTCTAAATATTCTCTTATTTTATATCAAAATCGCACACAAGTATGTTTTATAAATTGTAAATTATAAAAATAGTAATTTTATAAATATCAGAAAAATATTTCCAGCAATAAATATACACATAATGTGCAAAACTAGGGTTAAATTTATTTATTTTCGAGTATAAATGATTTAAAATTAGTAATTTCATGGTTTGAATACCAAATTTGATAACATTTTTTATTAAACAGACGTTTTTTGTGTAAAAAGACCAATTTTATAAGTTCTGCACTTAAGGAGGGTCTATAGCAAATAGGCAAACGGTAATACATTTTTATAGATTTTATTACTTCGTTTGACCAAATATGAATTAATGCACAAATAACAGACTTTCCTCCATTCTAACGCAGATTTTCTACAAAATAGAGTTAGTTTGAAATTCGAATTACTTTTTGTTGTAAAGGAATTTGTAATTTTATACAAGCGGCTTCGTAAATTACAAATTTCGTTACACCAAAAAGTAATTTGAGTTTGAAACTAACTCCAATTTATAGAAAATCTGCGTTAGAATGGAGGAAAGTTGGTTATTTGTGCATTTATTCATATTTAGACAAACTGTAATAAAATCTATAAAAATCTATTGCTGGTTGCTTATTTCCTATAGAAGTCATCTTAAATAAGCAAAAAAATGTTACATTAAGAAAGATGGCATAAAATTGTATGCATGTAAAAGTTTTACAGACCCCTGAGAGATTCTAGCACATAGTGGTCATTTAATCTTTTAAATGATAAAAAGTGAAATTCCTGTGTAAATCTTCACTTGTTTGTCTGTATGTATTTTGAATATGTTAAAAAAAACTTCATTCAGGAATTTCAACTTATTTCAACAACCTATATTTCAAAAACTAAGCATTTTCGAATTTGTTTATTGAAATTTCCTTTTTTTATCGTGGGGTAAAGTTTGGAACACCCTATATAGGTAGCCACGGAATCTATCGGAAACAAAAGTTTTTCTTAGTGAATTTTGATTTTTGTTTTTAAAACAGTGTGCATAACAAAACTGTTTTCTACGAGCTGTACATTTCTTATAAAAATGTTTATTTTGGCATTTATTAAATATTTGAGGTTATACTTCCAACAGACAATTAGCTGCCACTATAATTCCCATGTTCCTCAGTTCGAATGTAGAAAACCAGCTTTCCTTTTCGATTATTTCTAGAAAAAGTAAATTTTATTTCTTATTTGAGGGTTTACAGATTTTGAGGTTAGGAACATAGTGACAGATGTCAAAAACTATACCGATTTTCAGCTCTACGGTGTTTTGTTTTCTTTTTGTATTATTGACCTCTCGCTCACGGGACTACATAACCTAACTCAGTGATATGATGACTTACTAGACGTAGAGTATAAGAATAAGAAATAATGCCTTACATCTCGTGAAGGTGTGTCTATATTAATACGATGATATATTTTATTAAGAATAGGGCTGTGCTGGCTATTTTTTAACGATCTGTTTTGTATAAAAATTGTAATATAGTATTGAGGTTATGTTAGTGGACCCTTGAAGGATTTTAATTTGTTGTTGATTTGATCTGGAGATCAAAATGGATATTTTATTAATATGGCATTTCTATAAGAGAAGTTTTAACCCGTAGTCTAGAGGATAGTTATATTATAAATATGTAGTATTTTTTTCTTAGTTGCGTACGACTTAACCATTTCTTAACGTGTACCTAAAAAAAGAAATTATTTATTTATTTCACGATGTAAGATAAAAGTGTAAATTTTGTGAATAAGCAACAGGGACATGGTCTATCACAACTTATATTTGTAGGTTTATTATTATGTATAGTTGTTTAAAGTTTTTTTTTTGTATGATTTGTTACGGACAGACTTTTTTTATTTCGTTTGTGAACATCTGCAATAGGTAAAAGTCGATAATCAAAACGTAGCGTTAAGTGTTTGATGTTTTAATTTTTGTCACGTTTTACTTTTTGTACAGCACTGTGATTAGATTTGTTAGATACTGTTTGTTTCATAAGCAACTTTTCGCTGTATATTTTAAATTTGTATATTATTATATACACAATGATATTAAAAATGTTAGTTTTTAATAAAGTCTTTTTTATTTCAGCCGATAGTTTCTTCTTTCCTATTTAGTAAATCGTGAGATTATAAAAAAAAATAAGGTAAACGAACCAGTCATCATCAGTTTTAACACAATGTCTCTTATATGAGTATTAGTCCATGCGAATTATGTTTTTTTCAAAAATCGGGCCTAACTCAAATTTTACGGGCTGAAAATTAAAAAATAAAAATAATTAATTGCTCTTTTTTTCAGTTTTTCGCTTATATCTCCCAAAATAAGCTTCTAATCGACATGAGGTGTACTTATCGATTTTGTTCCTGAGGGAATTTGCTATGAGGATAGGCTTTTGCGGAAGCTCGCAAATTTTTTTTGCATTGCAAAATTAGGGGCGAAGAAAAAAAATGTGCAAAATTTTCAGCATTAAATAAAAAGAACAAATTTGACTGAAAATGGATTAAACTACAGCAAAAGATAACTGTTGGAGTGCTATATACAGATTTCATCAAATAGTGCTTGAAAAACATGAATTTAAAAAAAACCTCTCGATCCAACCAATAGGAGTCGAGATAATTTTTTTTCTTAAAAACGGACTTGGACTCGTAAAGTAGAAGACTGCCTTTACACGCTGAATTTTTTTTTAATGGATTCGATCAATAAATGACCAAGTAAACGTACGTTAAAGACAGATAGTCCAAGCATTATAGAGAAATGCTTACAGAAGTTATTATTTGGACAAAAAAAATATGACCATATAGAAAATTAAATTTTAAATTGAGTTTCTTATTCTTTAAACTCGATCCAAAATGGCGAACATGATTAAAAAAAATCGCAAAGTTGCAAAAAACGGTTTTTCTAAAATAACTAGAAAAATGTAGCACCGATTGAAATATTTTAAATAAGAAAGTTGTAGGTTTTAAAAAGATCTATCGACTGATTTTTTGTAAGTATCGATTGCTTTATTACTTTTCGAGATATATCGAAAAAACCGTTAAAAATCTTCTCTTTTTTTTCTTCTTCTATAACTCGTTTACATTTACGTTCCCATACTTGCTAGCTACTGCAAGCATAGCCCACGGCAAGCCAAAAAAGTACATTTTTGAAAAATTTAAAAATATTAATTATTTTTCGATATATCGATTTTTTGAAAAAAAGGCGCTCTCGAAAATTGGCTAGATCTTCTCAGCAGATAGCCCTATAGTAACGATTTTTGATTTTTTTCTTCGTAAAGAGTTATATTATCATGCTGTTAAAAAATGTTGACGATTTTATTAATTTTAAGGATCAAAAAATGACTGACTGAAAAAGTTGCACTTTTTTTGGGCGTTTTTTTCAAATAACTACTTCAATTTTTATTTTATGAAAATTACTTTTAAAGAAATAAACTGCTGACACTTTTTCACGAATTTGAAAAAAAAAAAAATGTTTTTTACGACCATCTGGAGCCGAGTTAATTTTTTTATTTAAAAATAATTTTGAGACGTAATTAACATTTTACAGCAACTTTTTAAGTCATTTTTTGATCCTTAAAATTAATAAAATCGTCAACATTTTTTAACAGTGTGATAATATAACTCCATGAAGAAAATAAACCGAAAATCATTACTATAGGGCTATCCGCTGAGAAGACCTAGTCAATTTTCGAGAGCGCTTTTTTTTAAAAAGTCGATATATCGAAAAATAATTAATATTTTCAAGGTTTTCAAAAATGTACTTTTTTGGCTTGCCGCAGGTTATGCTTGCAGCAACTAGCAAGTATGGGAACGTAAATGTAAACAAGTTATAGAAGAAGAGAAGAGAAGATTTTTAACGGTTTTTTCGAAATATCTCGAAAAGTAACAAAGCAATCGATACTTACAAAAAATCAGTCGATAGAACTTTTTAAAACCTACAACTTTCTTATTTAAAATATTTCAATCGTTGCTATATTTTTTTAGTTATTTTAGAAAAACCGTTTTTTGCAAATTTGCGATTTTTTTTAACCATGTTCACCATGTTGGATCGAGTTTAAAGAACAAAAAACTCAATTTAAAATTTAATTTCCTATATGGTCATATTTTTTTAATGCTGAAAATTTTGCACATTTTTTTTTTCATCACCAATTTTGCAATGTAAAAAAAATTTGGGAGCTTTCGCAGGAACAAAATCAAAAAGTATACCTCATGTCGATTAGAGGCTTATTTTCGGAGATACAAGCGAAGAACTGAAAATTGAGCCATTATTTTTTTGTTACAAAATATACAAATTTAGGTGTATTTTTTACTTAATTTTAAGCCCATAAAATTCGAGTTAGGCCCCCGATTTTTTTAAACGTTCATGTGTTTGGTCTAATTCGCCCGTATTATATCATTGTTAACAGTACCAGCTTACACAGTCCGGCTATTAAGTTTTAAGACCGGTTTTATTATGGCAAAGTACAGAGCGTCATCTATGTGCGGGTAACGGAAATACGTAGTGGGAGCCTTCCACTGACCGATCAAAATTTTATCAGTATACGTGTATCTACCACGGAGTTATAAAGTTTAGCATGAAGCGAGTTTTTGGTGATGACATTGAACAGCGTACAGCAATCAAGTTCTCTTTTAAAGCCGGTAAATCAGCCACGAAGACGTATCAACTGTTACAAACGGCTTACGGAGAGTGTGTATCACTTCCAACTGTGTTCCTGTGGTTTAGGAGGCTTCGTAATGGCGAGACAGCGTGCACGATGACAAGAGGACGAGGCATCCCCGCATGAGCCGAAGGAACGAAAACATCAAAGCTATGTGACATACGCTGAAGTCAACCATCAGAATGCTGACAAGCCGTGTACGATTGCTGTACGCTGTTTGTCTAATGTACATTTCCACGACAACTATCAAAAACTCGCTTCACGCAAAACGTTATAACTTATTGGTAGATACATGTATACTGATGAAATTTTGTTCGGTCGCTCGGAAGGCTTCCCAGTACATAGTTCTGTTGACCGCACAGATAGCGTCACACACTTTGCCACAATATAATCAGCCTTAAAACTTAATAGCTTGACTGTGTACAGCATTCTTGATCTGTTAAATTTAGTCTTGAATGTCTTTCCTGATTATCAGATCAGTCAGTCTTGTTAACACATCATCTCTCCTATTTGTATGCTTATGACAAGCACTGACGCGCCTGCTGGAAATTGGGACAAGGCCAAGAAATCCAGAAATCGAACCATATAGTCTGCCGTCTATCTTTTTCCACATGAAGGAAAGATGGAAATAGGCACTTGTGTTAATAGAATGCTCGAAGTGTGTGCATGCAGGCTAAACATATCAGAATAATATGCAAAATGAACGGCGCATTAAAATTTTCATAGAGAATATCGAAAATTATTGCTGTAGCCTAGGTTTTCCAGCATGTCCACATCACAATTTTCCTGTAGGTGTCCCGTTTCTCAAACCCTTTAAACAAGATGAAATCCCAAAATGTAGTGTTCGATTTTTAATTGCGATGCTTTTGCATTTTGATGACACTTCCCGTACACTAAAATATCCATTATTTCATCATTCCTGTAGAAGAGAGCCATTTTAAACACCAAAATTATGTAGTGTATCGTTTACAACCAAAATTGCACCTCTTGTGAGAGTTCGTTACCGGTTTAAGATGAAAGGAAGAACAATTATTATTTTCGTTAAAGGACAGTACATTATTGGGGTGCCGCAGGGATCAGTTTTAAAGCCTGTTCTCCCTCTTTGCATATTAAGAGGGCTCTATAGGAAATAGGCAAATTACTTTTTGTTGTAATGAAATTTGTAATTTTGTACAAGTGGCATCGTAAATTACAAATTTCATTACACCAAAAAGTAATTTGAGTTTCAGACCAAGTCCATTTTATAGAAAATCTGCATTAAAATGGGGTAAAGTCTGTTATTTGTGCACTGACCCATATTTAGACAAACCGTGTAATAAAATCTATAAAAATGTATTGCTGGTTGCCTATTTGCTATAGAGCGCTCTTAATCAATCCCCAAATTTTTTCTGTAGACTCATCTGTTAATATAAGAATCCAAATTATAAGATTTTATACAGGAATGCATTTAAATTTTCAAACTTTACCAATATTTTTGAATTTTTGGAAAAATTGTATCGGAAAAATTTGCCGTCAATGTTTAAAAAAAATTGTATCCGGTAATTACTAGTACATTTACTTACCTTAATTTCTTTTAAGCCCATTGCATCTATTTTTGGGGGAAAATTAATCGCCAACCTACTTTTTTGGTTTGGAAGGAAAAGAAAAAAATATGTCATTAAAACAAATGAAAAGCATCATTAGTTCAACCATTCTTTATTAAAACACGATCAGTTAAAGTTATAAAAATTTAATAAGTACATCGTTTATCAAAACACCCGTTTCCGTAAATTTCCTACCCTACACCCACAAAAAAATTATAGCTACGCTTGAAAAGTCGCTTTGCCCTCAAACGTACACCCGCTGCGTTGGATGATCTGCGCGGCGGCCCAGATGGCACACTTAATGCACACCTCCAAGCTCTGATCTTGAATGTACTGCGCCAAGAACCCCCCCACGAAAGCATCCCCTGCGCCGTTCGTATCTACTATCTTTTCCGGGGGCAGACCTGTGACGGGGAACTCGGTGATTATCCCGTCCTTGGCTAAGATGACGGGGTGGATGCCTTGAGTGAGGATGACGATCCTGGATCTGTTCTCATTCTGCTTGGGGAGCTTGCAGATTTTCAAGGCTATTTCCTTCATGTCCTTCGTGTTGAAGTTTTGCTCGGTTGCAAAGGCTTCTGCTTCCTAAAAAGACGGTTTGTATTTTTTTTATTACACTTTACAGTTTGAGATCTTCAAAACTACAAGCGGCAGAAAAAATTAAAGCCACACGCCAAATTAGTACGAAAATGCTTCAAATAATTTTTTTGTAATTTGAAAAAATTCATTTTTTTCAAATTTTAACTTTTTAACCCTATATCAAAGCATTACGAGACAGATGATGTATTTTTCTATTTTTTGTTAATTTATGATTCTCATATACAGGGTTAGTCAAATGTATGGAAACCCTAAAAAATCGCAGCGGCAAAGCATTTTTGGGAGAGGTCTCAGCATTTTCACGGCGCATCGCATGGTAACTTTGACCTTGAGGTTAACGTCCAGGTTCAATGTCATATCAAGATCAAGTAGGTTTTTTTAAGTAACGACCTTACTTTTCGACCCCGGGAATGAAAAGAGCAGAAAATTCTGAATCCGAATATGACATTAACCGTGACCTCAAGATCAGTTCTAGGTCAAATGTTGATTTTTACTGTAATTTTTTATTTTTAACAGAGGGAGTCACAGTGATTGAGTAGATACCTGATCCTTAGTGAGATCAGTAAAAAATTGTGGGTCCCTTCTATTCCATGGTCAAAAATAAAAAATGTCAGTCGGAATAAACACTTGACCTCTACCTGACCTTGACCATTGACCTTAAAGTCACGTTTCTACGAAGAATTCTCTCTTAGAAGAAGTCTCTTATTTCTAGCGTCGAAATAAGAGGTCGTTACTCCAAAAACCGATATGATCTTGACATGTTCTTTCGACCTTGACCTCAGGATCAAGGTCACTAAGGAGTACCATCTGATATTTACTCAAAGACTGTCATTCCCTCTGATTCCGTACTTAAAAATAAAGAATTACAGTAAAAATCAACATTTGACCTTGAACTGACCTGTCATATTCGGATGCGGAATTTTCTGCTCTTTCCATTTCCGGGGTCGAAAAGGAGGGTCCCCATTTAAAAAAAAACATTCTGATCTTGATATGACCTTAAACCTTGACCTTGAATTCAAGCTCAAGGTTACCATCGGATGCGCCAAGAAAAATGCTGACTTGTCCTCACAATTTACCCCAGAAATGCTTTCCCACTGAGATTTTTGTGGGTTTCGATACTTTTGACTAACCCTGTATAAACATTTGCCTAGATGCTTTCATATTTGGGATACTGCATGTTAAAGTTTACAAAAAAAAAAGATATCAGCAGATTCATCAGAACATAGAAGTCTTTGAAAAGGTAAGAGAATATACAGGGTGTTTCAGACCTACCGTCCACCCCTTCTGAAATCTAGGGTATCTAATAAAAGGAAAAATTCAATACCTCCTAATAGTGAATAGACTTTGCCGGATGGATTGGAGGTATTTTCAACATCCGACTCCCACTAGAAGTGGCCTATTCAAAGCGGAAGTCAGTCTTTTTAAATCGAATGACACACTTTTTCTTATTGATCTCGATTCTACGCCGAAAACTAATAAACTTTTGTAAAAAAAAAAAATGTTTTTTCTAAATCATCGTTTTCACACCCCAAAATGCCTTCCAAAATGTAACGGTTCCCCCGAGAAGTTACGCAAAGAAATGAAGTTTAGCACAGTACTACCAGGTAATGTAAATATGTATAGGTTTTTTCTAATACTGTATTATAAAAAAAGCTAAAACTTTAGTATTAAAAACTTGTAATTTCAACAATAAACCAAGGTAGGCATGATATATATTAGTGATATATATCAATGATATCTATCACGATATTTATTCCTTGATAAATATCAAGATATTTATAAAAATTTAAATAGGAATCAGTATTTAAATTTTTAAATAAAATTAATTCAGATGAATCTACAACATTCCCAAAATATATGTTTGGATCTCACTTTAAAAATACGCCAACTATGGTATAGTCGAAAAGAGTTATTATTGATGATGCTGTTTGGCCAAATATACATGCTTTTCTATCTTTACGTGAACAGCTGCTACCGCATTTCTTGAGAGAACGTTTTCATCATTTGGACTCGTACAATCGAAACTACGTAATAGGCTTGGAAACGAAAAAGCTGGAAAATTGACATTTTTATTTATTTAAATTTAGGAAAAAATAAAGAAAATATTGTTTGGATTTGGGACAATTCAAATACACCAGAGCCTTTGCCAGAAGAATCATCGGAACATTCCATCAATTCTGACGAATCCGACGATAATTTACCATTGATATGTTTAATGTAAATTGGTTAGTTTTCGTAGTACCTAATATTCACGCAAATATTTTTTATTAGTTTCACAATTTATATTTATTATTTCGTTCTTGTTTTTGGTATTTGGAATAAAACTATTTACCTAAGTAGTTTCTTAATTTTATTTGGCTACTATAATATTATACATAAACTATTTAATTAGAAAAAAATAAATATTAAGACTTGATATATATCGGATATATATCAAGATATATATCCGATATTTGATATTTATATAAATATCATGATATTTGCCAACCTTGTAATAAACTCACAATAACTTGTCAGATTATAGTGACTAACCCTGTACATTAACGAGGTTGTCTCCACTGTAAAAATTTGTTAAATTGTAGAAACTCTAAATATATTCTATATGAAATGCATCATTTGATTTAATTTTAATACCTTCATCCACTTAGAAGATATTTAGACAATTTTTTTTTGAAAACGTCCTCTATTTAAAATGAAAATATTACATTTTGACAAGGAAAATGTCTTCAAATCCCTTTAATATCCATCTGCCACATGATCATATAAATATTAACACACTTCTAATATATATATTTATAGAAGAATTACCCAACCACCGAACGCTCTGTGACTAACGATTTTTAATTACAGTATTACCATTGCAAAGCAATTATTAACTATTGCAAGTGCGTAATAAACAAAGTAATAGGCAATTTTCAATGCAGTCATGTGGGAAAATAGATTTGTATATCGTAACATCGCTATTGTCACGCTCAGTACCAGCCTCTACATTATTACATAAATATAGAAATATTTCCATGAAATCAATGAATGAATATTTCTGATATGCTACAGTGACAAAAAAATGCAAAGAAAATAAATAGAGGCCCATATAGGAACTTTGAGGAACTGCACACAGTTTCCTTCGGTTTAGCTGCTGCGAGGATTAGTTTACGTACGAGTGACTATTCCATTGTTAATAGTTAAGTAATAATAAATTTAAATTAACCGCAGGAGGCAAAGCAATCGTGTAAGGTCATCAGTTTAAAAATAAACACCAATATGGTTCAGTGATGAAAAACAAACCGATATTTACATCTGCAATGGAAACAACATGGTTTCGCAACTTTTGATTTATTTATTAGGCAATTTTATAATAACTGATGTTGAAATATTTTATTGCACAAGTCAAAATACCAAAAACTGCAAAAATTGTAAATCTTGATATATCAAAACTTATTAGAGAGGGGGAAATTTTATCGACTTACCATTTCGTTGCCGAAAAGGATGTCCACGTAGGGCAGCGCCTGCATCAAGGGCTCCTTGTAAAATTGTGAGATGAAAGCGGCACTTAAATTCATTAAAAGCGGCCGGTTCCGAGCTAGGGCCATCTTAGCCACTTCTAGTAAGGATGGCGGGCTTACCGTTAAGAAATATCCCTGGAATGTTTCAAATGTTTATACAGGGTGCTGCAAAATGTTGTTCAGAGAAGTCTAGAGCAGATTCTACATCCAAATATACAAAAAAAATTCATATAAACGTAGGTCTGCAAATGCTTCGTTTTCGAAATAGAGGGTGTCAAAAAAAATATGTTTTTTATTGATAGTTTCTAAATTTTTCACTGGAAATCGTTTAAATTTGGTTCATTTATTTCTCCATAGTGACAGCGCATGTTATTTTTCAGCGACAGTCACCAACTATGTTTTTTTAGTAGATAATGGTTTCATAGATGGCATGATTCTTAAAAATCTTCAATAGCTCGAAAACGCTCACTAAATGACAAATGTGCAAGGGGGCCTTTTTGCTCTAAAATAAACGAGGTTCCTAAAAACAAAGTAAAAACCAGTGGCGTAGATTTTCTGGTCAAAAATCAATATGATGGGTCCCTGATGGGTCTGAAATGCAATTGATTATACCAAATTATAACCTACGTATCATAAATGTATTGACCCAAATTTAAGCGATTTCCAATGAAAAATTTAGAAGATATCAATAAAAAACATATTTTTTATTTTTTTTCAAATTTTCTATTTCAAAAACAAAGCATGTATGGAACTACGTATATAGAATTTTTTTCATATTTTTGGATGTAGAATCTGCTCTAGAATTCTCTGAATATCATTTTGCAACATCCTGCATATAATAATTTGTATAAAGTATAAAGTAAGTAAAAAAATCAAAGGAAGATAGTGCCAAAAAATGTTGCAAGTTTGTCTTATAAATCTGTGTGCAATTAACGATGCTGACATTACAGGGTACTGAAATTAAAAAAACCTGTGAAATAATAACGCCATTAATCAACACTTTTCGAAAAGAATTACAATTAAATTATTCAGTGGCATAGATATGAGAGATGTTTAACCTGTTTCACCCCATAATATGAAGACTACACAGCAAAAACGCTAAAAGTTAATTTTTACGGTATAATAAGAATATTAGTACCAAAAAATGCGTGTAAAAAGTAGAAAAATCATAGCGGCCTAAGGATATTTTTATCGTTTTCACTGATAAATAGTTTTGAACTTTAAAATTCATTTTCTAGCAAATAAAATAAAAGTGACTCATCGATTTTGCCGTGTGATCTTCATACGTTAACTAAGCGTATAAAAATAATTTGTTTGTCAAATTCTGAATTCTTCAACAATTTTAGGCAAAAAAGATTGCTTCTCTGCGATTTTCTGAATAAATATTTTTTATGTAATTTATTTAAAATGGTATAAAGGTAACAAAAATAACTAAAACTTGTGAGAATAATTTTAACANGTGCCGACACCGGGGATCGAACCTGGACCAGAGTAGGAAGCCTAGCCGAGAAATGTTTGCCACCGCACTCTCGACCGACTGCGCTACCGTGGCGATAATGCATATATGGAACTACGTTTATAGAATTTTTTTTTCTTATTTTTGGATGTAAAATCTGCTCTAGAATTCTCTGAATATCATTTTGCAACATCCTGTATAATGAATAATTTGTACAAAGTATATAGGGCGATTAAAAAAAATCAAAGGAAGATAGTGCCAAAAAATGTTGCAAGTTTGTCTTATAAATCTGTGTGCAATTAACGATGCTGACATTACAGGGTACTGAAATTAAAAAAAACCTGTGAAATAATAACGCCATTAATCAACACTTTTCGAAAAGAATTACAATTAAATTATTCAGTGGCATAGATATGAGAGATGTTTAACCTGTTTCACCCCATAATATGAAGACTACACAGCAAAAACGCTAAAAGTTAATTTTTACGGTATAATAAGAATATTAGTACCAAAAAATGCGTGTAAAAAGTAGAAAAATCATAGCGGCCTAAGGATATTTTTATCGTTTTCACCGATAAATAGTTTTGAACTTTAAAATTCATTTTCTAGCAAATAAAATAAAAGTGACTCATCGATTTTGCAGTGTGATCTTCATACGTTAACTAAGCGTATAAAAATAATTTATTTGTCAAATTCTGAATTCTTCAACAATTTTAGGCAAAAAAGATTGCTTCTCTGCGATTTTCTGTACAAATATTTTTTATGTAATTTATTTAAAATGGTATAAAGGTAACAAAAATAACTAAAACTTGTGAGAATAACTTTAACATAATTCTATCTACAAATACCGTACCAAATATTTGGAAAGTATCACATAGTTGTCCAATTTTTAAATGATTTAAAGAAATTAGTAACTACTTTACACACATGACATTCTATATAATTATGTTAAAAATAGAATTAATTTCAAGCAGCATGGTTTCGTAAGGGGCTATTCAACATCTACTAATACACACCAGTACCAATACAATACAGCACCAGTACCAGTATACAATACTAATACACGGTACATATCGGAAGTCTTTGATAATCATGGTCAAAGATATATTTATTCAAAGCCATCGGTAAACTTCCTCATAATATTTTACTTCGTAAAATTATATAACTGTGGGGCATCAATCAATATTTTAAAACTTCCTAATTCATTTGTTTTTTGATTGATTGCAATATGTGTCCTGCAACGGATTCTTTTTGAAAAATATTTAAAGTTTTTTACGGTATACTTCAAGGTTCAGTACTGGGACCGCTATTATTTAATATTTTGATTTATAATGTACACATAACTGCAATTATTTGTTATATTTTTTATTTTAAGTAAATAATTACATTAACATTGCTTTATCCTGTAATTGAGACATGTTCCACTTGAATAGTAGCGAGTTTAAATAAATAAATAAACTATTACAGAAACTCACAAAACTTATTATCTCATGAAATTTAATTTTTTTTTAGCTTTTAGGCTTTGAGAAAAAGTTTTTAAATTTTATCACACTTTTATACATTTTTTTAAATGAAAATTGATTGTTTTATTATGAGACTTAATCATTTGAAATACTCCTATAATAAAAGCATTAAATTTAATATTACAACAAGATATACGCCGTTTACTGTTTACATAAGTATAAAAAATTTAAGTTTGATAAGATGTATCTCAGTTTATATGAAATTAATAATTTATTTAAAGTGCTATCTAGAAATTTTTAATATAACGACATAATTGGTCTTTAAAAATTTATATTTAGTTATTTTTAGTAGCTAATTTCAACAAATAAACTAAAAAATTGAAATATTGCCAGTAACTTTCAGTTGACTCACAATTATAGCGATATATTTTTAGCAATTTATCGTAACCGGTTTGTCCTAACACTTTTAGAAAGTATCAAAACTGCAAATAACATAATTTATCATGTATGTTGTATAACATTATAACTTTTAAATTTAAAAATGAAATCACCAGGCTTTGACTAGTTTCTTCTTTTCCATAAATTATAGCAAAAAAGAACTTACACTGCTTTAAATACTATTGTGAAAATTTTAATAACTTACCGAGACATAGTAGAATTGAGCAGTGTCCAACAATTTCTTATTCTCCGGTTTTTTAATGTGGTCTGTCGTAAAGCAGTTCGCACTCCCTAAATTAGCGCACAAGGACCTATGATGATCAGTAATTAGAACAGCACAAGTCCCTGTGGGTTCTTTACTATTATATTGATATTGTACATTAACTCCATCTGAGGTAGCTCTGTCAAACAAAATTTTTGAGAAATTATCTTCCCCAACACAGCCAAAGAACGTGGTAACTTTAGGCTTTTCAATTAACCACTGGGCGACCCTCAAGGCATTCTGTACACTTCCTCCTGCTGTGTAGTCCACGGGGTACTTCTGCACTAGCTCGGAATACAAGTTTTTGTGTTTCTCGCTTGCTAGAATAGCGTCATTGTCTTTCATATCATATTTGGCTAAAAATTCCTTGTCCACCTTCGCAGATATGTCCAGCAGGGGATTTCCCATTCCAACAAGGAGATTCTCTCTAAAAAAGAAAACATAAAAATTAAATATAAAATCTTTGTTGTTATAACCTCAAAAATTCTCACCTTAGATTGCTTTGTTCCATAGTTATTTCACTAGTACGCTAGTATAAGTACACTGTGCGCTAAATATTGCCGTTTTTTTTATTAATTTGAACTTCCAAGAATGAAGCCACGAGTTTCTTCTTAAATCTTAACTATATAAGTGAGGTTAAGTGGTACCACTTTGGCGACCCATTGAGAAATGTATCCTTAAGTAATTAAGTACTGTAATTAGTAGTCTATTATTATCAATATCATGATATTTTCATCTTTGGTTGCGACTTAGGAATGGTTATGAACACTATAATAATTTAAATATTTATTAACTTTTTAATACTGGTGTCGCCATCTACTAGATATTGGATTAAGGTAGATATGTTCTTGTTTGATTGAATTGCAGATAACTAGAAGGTTGAGTGTTTTGAAATTTCTGCATTTTTGTGTTGTATCGAATCAGCAAAATTTAAATTTGAATTTATAATAAGCAATAAGTAAGTATAGATTTAATAAATAAAATTTATAAAATTATATATTCTTATTGTTTTCCTCTCTTTTTCAACCACTTTACTGTATCATCGTAGCATCCGATATGGTCTAGTGGCTAGGATACCTGGCTTTCACCCAGGAGGCTCGGGTTCGATTCCCGGTATCGGAAAAGTTTTTATTTATTTTTGTAAAATTCATGATTTTTAACATTAGAAATGGAAAGTATCGATAGTGTAACTCCAGATGTTAGGGAAATACGTAAAATTTTACAATGTATAGGTGGTGTAAACTTTTAAGTGTGACAAATTCGCTTGCGGCCGCTGGGCGCAGGGAAGGTCCGATCGGAGTATTTGTGGTGTCGTTATCCATTTATAAAATGTTTAAGTGGATTACACATAAATGAACTAAGCGTGAAAACTAAGTTTTCTAAAACAGATTAATCAACTGTGTAAAAAAGAAAAGGGAAAATTAACCTCATACTGTATGGCTTGCTAAGATCCAACAGTCTAATTCAATTTTTTAGAAGCTATTTTCGGGAAAATTATTTTTTTTTAATTTGACTATAATTATACTTTTTGGATATACGAGTATATATTTTTTCATGTTGAGGGATTTGTATGATAAGACAACTTTACTAATTAATTATGTCAGTTCATAGTCCTGCCACAAATTAAAGAAATTCGTAAAAAGTAGTTTTAAATTTATTAAGTTTCCGTTTCAGTTTAAAATTCTAGCGGTTTTGGAAATGAAAGATGCAAAATTGGCCAATTATTTTAATAATTTTAGGCAGCACCCAATATTTTCACAATTCACGAACAGATTATTATTTGCCAATTGTAATTATCAGTATCAGTAAAATATCTTGTTTGTGCAGCAAGGTTTTTAACAAAAATAAAAAAAACAGAAAAGTTTCGATGAAATAAATTTCCATAATGATTTTAACTACATTGTAACCGATAATGTGATTATTGAAATTTGTTTTTTTGTCAATAAATAATATGTATAGAAAAAAATTAAAGTTTCCTTGTTTTATTACAAACCTCGAGGATTATATACAAAAATTCATTTTCCTTCCGTAAAGCTTATTTAAAAAAATTCGGAAAAACTATAATAACAATCCTAAATTAAACAGTTTAATTTCACTGAAATAAATAAAAAAAAAATTTGGAGGAGCTGGGATTTGAACCCAGGACTTTCAGCATGCGAAGCAGACACTCTACCACTGAGTTACACCCCCGTGTCAGTCCTATGAGACTTGATGCTATATTAAAGCCATAACAAAAAAATCAGGAAAATTAAGAATCCAATACTCCATCTATGTAAATTTCCTTGGTGTCTGTCCGATTAAAAAAGGGAACAAATTAAAAGCATTTAAAACGCCGTTAACACTTTTCCTGGTACATTAATGTGTTACATATTTAAATTGCCTTGCAAACGACGTGATGTAAGAAAACGGACAATCATTTAACAATTATTGCGTAATGTGGAACATACTTGCAAAAACTGCATTCCTCATATAATACAACAGAACAAAATCGGCCAGTCATAGACAAATATAATAAAAAGCCGTTACGGTGCGTTTTTTGCTTCTGCCGTGAAAAAAAATCTCGTAATAAATGGTGTGGAAACAATACGGTCCCGCACGGGTCGACTTCCTGAATAGGTTAAAACCGACGCTTTAACGAGTAACCTTGTTGGGGAATGGCAAAGGAACACACGGCACCCGGCACACCCAGATATGGTTTGCGTTTACTGCATTTTTGTCTGCAGGTAACCGCGCTGTTTCGACCAAGTCTATTTATTGTTTTCAGCGCAAAACTTAAATATCAGATTTCTAGATAAAGGAGCTCGGCTCGCAGACGTCGAGGTACGTACGAAAAGGCAGCCGGCCTTGGCGAAAAAAATGGACGTGAATTGAAAAAATGTGAGCGGTGCATTGGCTGCAGTTGGAGGCGTTTACAAATTAAGCGTTTCAAGATTAATTCCTTGGCGCATTTCACATGGTGATGCAATTTGATCAGAACACGGTATTGCTATGGTGATCGTAAATTAGTGTAATACTCGCTGAAGGGAAAACGACTAATAAGAAAGTTTTATTAAGATAATCTGTATTGTAATAGTCATTTTACTCCAGTCGAATCAGTGCAGGTACTCCCGAAATGTCGATTCGATGATTCTGAATCGAGATCGAAATAATATCGATATATCGGGACTCTTGAAAATTTTGCCATCGAAATAATATCGAAACCCCGCCCATTCGAATCGATATAATATCGAGGAGTCTTGGCTAGCCGAAATGATTTGGTCTCTTCTTCTATCGCATGTATTGACTATTGCTGTTTCTTTTCAACATTACAAATAGGTGTTTGCGTTTGTGTTTTGTTTATTTTTACGTATTTAACCTAACCCAATGTCCAATGTGAAGTGTCAAATACTTGTTTCTATATATCTACAACTATTTGAACAGTTTTTGAATGATATCTTTTCTGTTAACATAATTATATTCTTCTTTAACATTAAATAAATATAAATACTGCATAATATTACAAATCTTCTTCTTGTCATGAGTGTGTATTTACCGGAATATTTTTCTCTAATGTTGGTGAGGTTTTAATAAATAACTTATATGTGACTTTCTTTATACCTCTATTAATAGTTTGTTGACTTGAAGCAATAAGTCTACTCACTCCAGTGATGTTCACCGTGCATAAAACCAGAAAGCACAAAATAATTTAATGTTGAATTGAATACTTTCCGAAGTTCTTTTTACTTCTTTTAAATGTCAAACAATAGACATAATTAAATTACATACAATATTTTTATGTAAGCGAAATAATTACACACATTTTTTGTCCGGTAAAGATTATAATGGACCCATTGAACCTCTTAACTGTCTTCTCCAAATATTTTCATTCCTAAATACTTCTCGTAGCTCTAATTGTTCAACAATAATTATAATCACATGTAGTATTTTATGTTTTTTAGTTCAAACCGAATAAAAAATTAGGATGTGGAATATCAATAATTTGTTGAGTATGTACGCATAAAACCTATAAATCAACTTTCATAGTTTACTGTTTAAACTAAATAAATATTTTATAACTTCTGTTTATTTATTTGATGATAGGTATTCATTTTAAAATTTAAATAAACTGCGTGACGCCGCCGCCGGACAAAGAGAGATAGATAGCTGAAATACGTATATGTTAGACAGAAATAAATATATCACTCAGTTGCCTTAACCGTGGTGGTATACAACATTACCCCAAATTTGCCGAACTTATCCGAGGACTAGGTATATCGATGTGCTTCAAGAGTACCAATTTACATTTCGAGTCGAATCGATCGAGGTTGGTTTCGTAATTATCTCGATATCGATAAAACGACATCGAGATTTCAGGAGTCCCGCTACAGGTCAGAGCTGGGCAAAATACTATCAAAATGTATTTAAAATACAAAAGTATTTTAAAATACTTAAAAAAATACTTCTTTGGCAAAGTATTTTAAATATAAATTACTTGGTATTTAAAATAATATTTTAAGTATGTCGAATATTAAATATATTGAAAATATTCATTAACAGTATTTAAAATATTTTTGTGAAATATTAAATCTGAAACTATTAAGATGTGACTTAAAAAATATATTGTATGTACAAGGCAGAGCTGGGAGTATTTTGACAAAAAAAAATATCAAAAAGTATTTCAAATACAAAATACTATTTTGTATTTTGTAATTAAAATACTTTTGTTATAACGAAAAATATTTTGTATTTCAAATACTTTAATAAAGCATTTTGTATTTTAAAAAAGTATTTAAAATCTTCTAAAACTAATTTAAATACTCGAAGTATTTAAAATATCCAAAATACCTACCAATAACAAATACTTTTTGCCTGGTACATGTGCTAAAAAAAAATTACGCACCTGCATTCCTGCAATGATTGTTTCCAGACTTATGTCTAGTTTTTTTAAATTTTTTGATGGTCTTGAAATGCCTTACCACATACAATTTATTTTTTTAAGTCAAATCTTAAGAGCTTCAGATTTAATATTTCACAAAAATATTTTAAATATGTACTATTAATGAATACTTTCAATATACATATTTAATATTCAACATACTTAAAATACTATTTTAAATACTAAGTATTTTATATTTAAAATACTTTGGCCAAAAAAGTATTTTGTGTTTAAGTATTTTAAAATACTTTCGTACTAGTATTTTGTAATTTGTATTTGAAATACATTTTGAAAGTATTTTGCCCAGCTCTGGTACAAAGCAAGCCCGATTTCAAGATCATTAACTCATAATCTTTTCTTAGAATAGGCCATAAAAGAAATTAATTTTTAATTTTAGTGATTGACTACTGACTTGACTTGTGATGATAGTGACCTAAAGTAGTAGACAGAAAGCAATAACACAACACATACTGCAGAATGCAGAGTAGAATGCGCTAAATCCAGACAAGCAGGTGCGTATTTCTTTTTTTTTTAGTACGTGTTTGTTTACCAGTCGCCAGTTGTAACAGGCATAAAGTATTTGTTTCTGATAGGTATTTTGGGCATTTTAAATACTCAAAGGTATTTATATTACTTTTAAAAGATTTTAAATACTCTTTTAAAATACAAAATACAAATTATTTTATTAAAATATTTGAAATTCAAAGTATTTTTGGGGTTATAACAAAGGTATTTTAATTACAAAATACATAATACTATTTGGCATTTTTTTGTCAACATAATCCCAGCTCTGCTTTAGAATTTTAGAAGATAATATCGTAAATATAGGTTTCAATTGATCCGAAGAA